TTTTTGCCTCTGTTGCTTTGGACTTTTTATTAAATCAGCAGAACTCATGTCTGCTTTTTGGTCCTCAAAAACCTCCATACAAACCGTGACAAGGGGGGTTTGTATGGAGTCATTTAACGACTCAAAATGTCATGTAATTAGTTATCTGATAATGGTGGTGATAACCTGTTAATAGTTACGCCCTTTAAGTTTTTTCTGTTTATTTGGTGTTTTACGTCAATGCTACTAATTTATTTTTTCAGGGGCTGCTGTTTTCACTTTACCTTAAACATCTTTCATCTGATCAGAGAATGATGTATTTAATTACTGCACAAGGATTGTTTTATGGGATGTTATTTTTCCTTTGCTTTAGAAGTGATCATAACAGAGAGAGAAGTCCTCAAGGATTTCATGCTGTTTAAATACAGATGAACTCAACATGCATGTTGGGTCACAGATGGTTTCTGGTTCACCTACATAGAACCCGTGTTTGCCAAAAACAGTAAAAAAAAAACAAAAAAAAACTCATCACTCACTCAGTAGGAGATTAAAAGAACCGAAATATTTGAAACAACTTTAAAACCCCACATTAAACATGTGGTTGCCACATTTTATTTATTTATTTTTGTTCGCATTCGTAATTTAAAACGTCCTGCAGTGCTTAATATGGCCACACGATGGCACTGTGGCGCCACTTATAAGGTAAAGTTGCTGTAGAAATTTAGTGTCACATTAGAATTTAAAAAACCTTTATTTTTATCTTTCAAATTTCTTTTTTTGACCAATGTTGCTATTTTGAGATGTGGGTTTACCTTAACTGCATTAGATATTGTAACATTTTATCTCATTTTCTGTTTTCTTCTGTAATTTTAGTCCTTTATTCTACATTAATAATTGAACTTCATTGATCTCACATTGGAGAAATTGACTTCTGCATTTAACCCTTCATCTTGGGGACCAGTGGGCTTCCATTGTGGAGCACCCGGGGAGTAATGGTCTGGCTCAAAAGAGACAGATTGGCAGTGGGTTTAGAACTCACAACCTCAGGATTCCAATCTCTATACCCTAACCACTAGGCCAACACTCATTTACTAATTTGCTTTGCTACTGGCACACCTGCACTTCCTCTGTGTATGAGATAAAGGGTATTTCTTTTTTCAGTCTTTAATAGTGGTTAAGATGTTTTTTATTACTTGTGTAATGTAAAGAAAAGACTAATATATTAGTGATACTCATTTTTTTTTTTTGTCAAACTCTGCAGTATTTTGTCTGCAGTACTGAACCTCTATATGTTGGTGCTGCTCACACCATGGATAGGTCCTTTCAGATCCCACACACACACAATCTAACACACACCTACACACTTAGACTAATGAACTCACTTGCATGTCAACTTTGAAACAAGAGAACCTGGGAAAAAATGCACAAAGAGAACCAACATTCAACTCTTAACTCATTCTGTAAAAGCTGAAACTGAATACTGAATTATTTTTTAAATAATAATCACTTTTATTCATTATTCCATTAGTTAAAATTATGTTGTTTTTAATGGTTTCCCTCTTTTCTTGTTAGTAGAGGATTTAAAATGTTCTGCATTGTATTTTTATGGCCACACGGTGGCACTGTAGCACCCTTTTTAAATTTAAATGTTTTTTCATTTGATTTTTTCATCTCTAATTCATAAAAATGGTTTCTTTACTGAGGTTTTATTTTTTCGTTACTGTAAGTTATATATTTTCTATTTATTACATAATTCTGATCCTTGTGAAGCGAATAGAAACATAAAAGCTTTTCAATGATTACAGAAAACTGACTGCAGTAAATTAACTTAAGTATAATCTAAAGGGGGGTTCAGGGTTTTATTACAGTCATTAATAAACTGATGAATTCAGTGGGAGTTTTCTTTTTATGGTTGACAAAACAAGCGAGAGGCTGGGCACACCCTGGACAGGTCACCAGTCTGTCACAGGGCAACACAACCACTGGAGTACCAAGAGAGAACCTGGGATACACAGGGAGAACGCCATGCAGAGACAGTGCTACAAACTGGACCACTGTGCAGCCTTGATCTCATTTCAAACCGTCTCTTTCTGCAAATAATTCCAATTTCCTTGTAATTCTGCTTTACCTTGCATGCTCAAGAATTTGTTACATTCACGCTAATTTTGTAGTTTCAACCTTAAAATAGTTTTAACACGCTGCTTTCATTTTGCACATCTCTGATGCTACTGATTTCAAATATCCATTACTGTAAAAATGTCCATAGCTGGATATTGGTTATTTATTCTCTGGGAACCAAGTATTAATATTGCTAAAACACTTTACAGTATAGTATTTTGTTTATTTATTTTTAAATTCTTCACTATTTGAGACCACTATGACGGCCTCTATGGGTAAATTACTTTAGATGCATTTTACTTGGAAAGTTTATACTTACACGTACATAACAGGAATCAGATTGGTTTAATTTAAGAAAATAAAAAATATGTAACCTTGGAAAGAAACCCAGATTCATGAATATATAAAACTATATATTTTGAAATCCAGAAAAATGTTCCTACAATTTTCTTTTCTTTTTTTTTTCAGGCCTTTTCTTCAGTGTCTGGTCCAGTAGAGACTATAGAGAGTTCATCTATTAGACACGCAGAGCTCTGTCTTTCACTTATCCTAAAATTTAAAATGGAATCTAAAAATAAAAAAAAACAATAAAGGGAAAATGATTTAATATTAAAATGTTTTAAATGCTTTGTTAAATTAAGGAGTTTGGTTTAGATGAAACATTTTAAAATTCCCAGAAAATAATGTAGGAGGAGGTCCTCCTCACCATCACCCTAATTTACGGAGGATAATATCTTCAGTTCACTTTGATTAAAGGAGGTTTTATGCCTCTGGGCTGGAAGCAGGAACAGAGGAATCGGTGCTTCTCCTCCTACCTGCAGGACGACGAGCCGTTTCTTCTGTAAATAAACTACGGTGAGCTGCATCGGGTCTGGTGCTTTATTAAGAACATTAACAGCAAGAGCAAAACATGAGGAGAAGAAACCAAACTTCTGATGCAGAAAATACAGAGTTAATGAAAGAAAGGAATCCCGTTAGGAAGGTTTGGAAAACAGGAAACTTGGAGCAAACCGATCACAGTCTGAAAAAAATGACCTTTAACTGAACCAGAACGGCCCAAATGAACCCAAATCCAGCATGTTTTCCCTGACAGCAGAACTCCGTCCGGCTGCACAGAACGCTTCCGGTTGCTTCCAAGGCTCATAGAAAACCAAAAAAACGAGTAGAAATAGATTACTGTACATAAAGAGAATAAATATGAGACAAGATGAGACGAGGAAACCCAAACAGACTCTCTGTGAATCTGATAATACTTTACTTTAGTTTCACCTGTAAAGACGACCTCCGCTGTCATTACAGGTTTAGGGCCCGGTCACACCATGACGATTTAGCCACAATCTCCTAAACCGCCGGCATACGCTGAACTTTCTATGTATTTTCTCAATTCTGGGCGTATACATAGAGTATTTATAATAATAATCACACCTTCTGGCTCACCTTCTGATGGGGATGAAATCTGGAGGATTTACTCGTAGGTTTTTGATAAGCTAGACGCCACGACTTATGAGTAAATTAGACTTAACGATCATATAACTTTATGGCCGACGTATGAGCATCTGCTGGCATAAATCTGGACTTGTCATATGTCGAGGTGTTTCAGCGTGCTCCTAACTTATAAAAAACAAATGACTCATCCATCGTATCCCTGCGTTTTTGCCTGATCATGCTGATCTAAATCGTCATGGTGTGACAGGTGCTTTAGTTAGAACAATAAAACCAGATCAGCTGAAAAATTAGCTTTTAAAGCTGCAGTGGACTCCATCTTTACCTCTGACCTTTCATCTTAGTTCACCATTTTTTCAATTATTTCTCTTTTAAAAACTACAGCTGCCAGGTTTTCATTCACTTTGAACCAGAAACAAGATAAATGTTCAACAGATCTCTTCTATACAAGCAGATCTACGTTGATTGATTTAATACAGTCAGGTTTACGTTTCCTGCTGCAAAAAGCTTGGAGATCAGAGTTTAACTTTAGAAAAAATATCCAGAGGAGCGACGATGCAGCAAAGCAGCAATAGCACAGCAATCTACATGTAACAGTCCTTAAAATGCTGCAGACTTGGTGTTTAGGGTTGTTGGGTTTTCTAAATGAAACGAACAGCAGAGGAGCTCTTCAGACTGAAGATCTGCTGGTTTTGGGTTGAAGAGCTGCAGTGGCTTTCCTGGAAACCTCTCAGACGTATAAAAGACTAGACGGCGATAGGAGCGAAGCTCTGAGGAAGCTTGTCTCTCCTGTTTAGAAGCAGCTTTCAGGCGTCTGGATCCTCAGTTGTTCTTATTTTTTTTTATTTCCTTCTTCTCCCGTTTAACAGTTTTGTTTTTAGTTCATGCATCCGTCTGAGAGAGAAAACAAACAATCACCAAAGATCACTTTTTAGACATCAGCTTGTTCGGAATCCGATGGAGGCGGGGAGGCGGTTTCCATGACAACGCGTCAGCTTCTGTACCTGGTTTTCCTCAGAAAAATATCTCTGCTCCATTCGAGCGTCTGAAAAGACGTTTAAGTCCTGAAATGATTCCAGAGATTTTGGTGCTTTTTTATTTTTTTGTTCCCTGATTTCTCCGTTCCCAGCGGTTCCGATGGAGCTCCAGATTCTGCGTCCGCTCCGGAAAATGAAACAGGAAGTGACGGCGGACAGTTTTCTTTTGTTTTAAACCTCGATCTGAAGCTCTCACAGTGTTCTCTGAAGTTCTGGACGACCCATCTGACATCATCTAAGGGTTCTGGTTCTGGTTCCGCTGACCTGCGGCTCAAAAGCTAAGAACAGTTCTGATGATTGGACGCGTCCAGGTCTGACGCTATGAGGCGGAGATGAAGGATTCACAGAATCAGTTCCTGCGAGGTCAGGATCACACGGGACATAGAACCTGCTGTTTCCTCACCCACCAGAAGAGGGCGTGCGGAAGCAAACTGGTGAAGATCAACCAGGTGAAGATTTTTTTTAAAGAAAGAAGATCTGTTTTCAGACTCTGAATAAAATCCAACTGAAAGGCTTCAGAATCGGTTCCTCTGACTTTATATCTGCATCACACCTGAGAGCCGAATCAGATCTTTCAGTAGAACCTCAGTAACAAATTTCATTCATAAATCCTGACTGTTTTGTGATAAACGGGACTGTAAACTGAGTTAGATCCGGTTTGGACCGGTCCCATGTGATCCCTCCTCAGAGTAAAGTCCTGATCGTCTGGTTTTCCGTCCTCCTTTCATCCTGGCAGGAAGTTCAATCGTCACTGGGAGACTTTCACAGTAAAATCCAGTCTTGGAACCGCGGTTCTGATGCGTCGGCGGGGGGGTCACCGCCTCTGCTGGCTGTAGACGGGGAAGGCCAGCGTGACGTTGAGCGAGTCGTTGTGTTGGACCAGCGAGGTGTGCTGGTAGTGCAGGACCAGCTCCTTCAAGGAGCCGTACAGGTTGTAGGGCTCGGCGAACCCGTAACCGGTGCTGGTCTTGTTGATGACGCAGTGCTTCACCTCGCCGTCCACCCTGAGAGGAGGAGACAGACATGGGTGAACATCAGAACCCTGCAGAGGGTCGCTGTGAGAGAACAGGTGAGGGGGCGGGGCTTACACAACGGAGCAGGCGGCGTAGCAGCCCGGTTTGCTGCTGTCCCGGACCAGGAAGGTTCCGTCTCTCTTCCCTCGCAGCAGAGCCTCGGCCTGATGGCGGTTGATGTTCCCCAGACGCCACAGGCGCTCGTCGTGATGAGGAAGGTCCTCCTCATCCTCCACCATGCTGTACTCACTGAGAGACACGAAGAGAAAAGGTTACAGAGATCCTCTAGAGACAGGATGCACACCGCAGGAACATTCAGCTGCTCATACGGCTGGCTGTTGCTAAGCAACGTAACAGGAAGCCAGGCGGGTAGCGACACTCACTCCTCTGTGGTTTCGTTCTTCAGACCGAGCCACTCGTTCAGCTTCCTCTGTCGGACTCCTTTCTGGGTCAGCCACCTGAAACGGACCCAAACAGAACCGTTAGTCGCTGAGCAGCTTCCTCCCGGGCCGCTGCTGGTTCCTGTGGGCGGGGCCTACATCAGGTACTGGTCCCTGGTCTTGCGGAGCTGGATCAGGTCTGGTTTGATGCTGTTCATCTTCTTGTCGATCTCCCGGTTGTCTCCGGCCTGCTTCTTCAGATCCACCTCCAGGTGGCGCTTGCTGTCCACGATCTCGCTGATGCGAGACTTCAGCTTGTCGTAGTTCTCCATGATCCTTCAACGACACGGGAAGAGGGGATAGTGATGGACCGTTTCCACAGCAACAACAGCTTATAATAGAACCTAGAAAGTATTCACACCCCAGAGCTCCCAGCTGCAGGTCCACTGGGGTTTTATCTCCTCCATCTTTAAACATCTAAAAAACATCTCTGCTTCTGTAAATAAAAATTCTCTTTACAGTTTTTTGATTTTTTAGTCTGGACTTTGACTAGGCCAGTCTAAGCACACTGATCTGCTCTGATCTAAATCATCCATTGTATCTCTAGCTGCTGGAAGGTGAACCTCACCCCAGTCTCAGATGTTCTTCCTGGATTTTTCTGATTTATCTCCAACCATCGATCTGATTTCCTTCCCTCTGCTGGAGGAAAGCAGGAAGAAGGAACAACCAATCTTCTACGCGGCTTTTTGGTACCAGGAACAGAACTTTCTTTGGTTCCTTTAAACATAACTGTTCCTTTGAGGAGACATTTGTTCCGTAAAAACTGATTGAAAATAAATTCTAATATCTTAAGATAAGTGAATTTCCCATTACTTTGAGCAGGAAAATAATGGATATTTTCCTATTTATAACAGAAACTATTTTAAACTGCCTGACCTCCTTAAATCAGGGGAAACTAAACTTGGATCAGGACAGATAACTTTCTTAAATTTAATTTTTTAGCTGTTTAATTAATTAAATAAACCAATTAATCAATTAAACTATTTAATCGTGTGGAGTTGAGGACGTTCTTCCATCTGAGCTGCTGTTCTCCAAGCTATCGGTTCAGGTGGATCTGCAGCTCCTCCATCCTCTCTCTTTATTCAGATAACAGGCTGAAGCTCTGAACATGTTCAATGTTTAGAACCTAAACTGGTCCAGAACTTCCTCCCAGACCATCTGCAGTGTTCCTTCCTCTTCATGATGCTCGTTGTTCTCTGATTTTCTTCCTCTGCTTTAAGTCGCTCTAAGTCTAACCCACTTGGTTACAGTAGATGTTTATTTTAGTGGTTTCAGAGAAGGGTGGTCTGAGGTGCTTAGAAGAAGCCTAGATCAGTTTGAAGGGGTGTGAAATCCAGAGCAGCTTTATCTTTAGAGCAGTTTTAACACTCACAGGACCAAAATAAAAAGGTAACAGTCATATGATACCAGAAACATCAGTAAGACCTAAATATAAATATCCTGTCTCAGATTAATATAATAGATCAGAGGATCAAAGAAACAAGATAATATGGAACGTTTAAAGGTCAACTCTGTTATAAAATTCACAGCTGATCTGCAGAAGTTAATCAGTTTAAAGATAATCTCTCTGCTTTAGAAGAAATCCCGCCCATAGGGTCTGAACGAGACGATCTGATTGGCCAATGAGCTCTCACTTATCTCCCGGCTTCAAACCCGATTCATCAGCAGGTCTTTTCTTCCTGTTCACTGTAGCTATAGCAACCCAGCATCCTTTTTGCATGCTCCATGTGCGAGTGTGGTCCCAGACACAGTTGTCGTGGTAACAGCCTACCTCTGAATCTCCTTGTCGTTGCCCTCCCGTCTGAACTTCTCGATGTACTCCATGCTGAAGCGTTCCTGCGTCTGGCACTGCTCCTCGAAGATCTTGATGGTCTCGTTGAACGCCTCGATGGCCGTCCTCTTCATCTGGATCTCCTGCGGGCGACCAGAGGGGGCGCTGTTGGTTACATTCCTGCATCTTCTTTGCTTCTTGGCGTCCGGCTGGCAATCCTACCTGAGAGGTTCTGGTGTATTCCTCGTAGAGTCGGTCGTACTCGCGGTTCTTCTCCTGGTACTGCAGGTGGTACTCGTGCAGCTTCTTGCCCACAGCTTCCACGCTGTCCTCCTTCACCACTTGGTCCTGAACAAAAAGCACGACCAATCAGAGGAGGCGGAGCTACCGCTGAGGCCACGGCGGCTCGTCAGAGCAGGGGACGTACCTGCTGGTGTTTGGAAACTGGGTAGAGCAGCTTCACGTCCAGCTTGGGGTTATACTGGGCCAGGGACTCGTGTCTGTAGTGGTTGATGAGCTCCACCACCGAGCTGAAAGTTAGCGGGTCGGAGAAGCCGTACTTCCCCTCGCGGTGGAAAATCTTTATCAGTTTGTTGTTGCCTCCTTTCCTGTAAACACAGAATCAGAAACTTTAACGTGTGACTTAAACATGAACTTGTTCCAACACCTTCAGACGAACAGACAGACCCCCTAATATTAAACTCAGACCCTTTAGACTCTCAGAAGAAAAAAAAACGTTTCTGAAGCGGTTTCAGATTAAAGTTCAGATCTGGTTGGACTTTCTGTAATTCTTCAGAGCAGCAGTTTGTGTTTCCATCACAGTCATGTGATCGTATCTCTGAGCATTTATCTGATCTCAGCAGCGGCGCTGTAGGCAGCGGCTTTAACATCACAGCGCTTTCAGCTTCCTGCTGCTTCATGTCTGAACATGATGAAGTTCAGGGAAACTTCAAACATTTAGACTTTGGTAACGTTAACGCTTCAAATTAGGGTGATTAATTCATTCTATCTATGAATAATAAAAGAAGATTGACTCTGTGGGCTTCCATAGCTCAGACTGACATCAGTTCTTCACTTCTGTTTTTAGTCATCTGATAAACTAACTCTCTGTGTAACATCAATGCTGCTAACATACATTGTGTTCTTTTTAATTTTTTGTTGTAATATACGATTTTTTTTACAGCATTTTTCACAGCTTGAGTTGCTGCCATTTAAATCAATGTCACCTCCTAGAGAGGATGAAAGAGTAAAAGCTGGCCTTTAAAAGAAAAATACCCATTTGTCACTTTTGTTATTAAACTTAAAGGGGAACGCCGTTGTTTTTTTTACATTGGTCCCTTGATTTTACATTATTACATCATGTTCTACTCACCAATATAAGTTTTGTGTCATTTGGAGCCGTTCTGAAGATATTCCATTAGGTTATATCCAAGTAACGTCTTCCTATGGGCAACGACTTGAAGGCACAAACTAAACTGTTCATAATTTATTCTTTATGGTACGCCAGCATTCAGAACATGGAGGCCAATCACTGTCGCCCAGACATCAGAGGTTATATTTTTTATATTTATATCTTTTAAAAACTACCGTATTTTCACGACCATAAGGCGCACCGTACTAAAAGGCGCAGTCTCAGTTATGTGTCCCATTTCTGTATTTAACACACACATAAGGCGCACCGGACTATAGGGCGCGTTTTTTATATACAGGTGCATGTCCTCTACTACCTTTAAATACCTCTACTGCGTATTTAAAAATACAGCGGGGGCAAAACTGAGTATGACTGTGCTTTATTCATGTATTTATTACAAAGTATTAATCAAACCTGGGAGCTGGCCGTGAGACAGACACATCGCTGATGACACAGCGCTGTGATTACTCCTAAATTAACTTAAAATCCTGAAACCTGCCGACGGAATATGTTCGCTTTTATTACCGGTATCCTGGTGCCTGCAGCTAAAATTATTTAGATGAAAAACACCTGCCAGCAGCCACCGGTGAACCTGGAGGCTGCCCAGCCTAGCTGCTGATGAAAGGATTTCTGCTGTCGGTGCACCGCTGGTATGCGGGGGTCTGAGCGCCTCCGACAGAAATAGATAATCTGGATGAACTGACTGCAATTATGAAGTTTTCAGGTGGACTTTCTCACTTAAAAACATATTAAAACTACTTTATTCCCACTGATCACAGCAAATATAGCTGCAAGATTTAGATCATTTAGATGAAAAAACACCTGCCAGCCACCGCGCTGAAGAGGAGGAGACCCGCCCAGAGGCTGCTGTTGAATTAAGTTTTCAGGTAGAAAAATAGAGCGGGAGCAAAACTGAGTATGATTGTGCTTTATTCATGTATTTATTACAAAGTATTAATCAAACCCATCAAAGTCATCATCCTCTGTTTCTGAATTAAACAGCTGCGCTAAATCAGACATGCCAGTTTCCCATTCTTCGCTGTCAGAGTCACTTTCCGTGCAGCGCAGCTCCTCAGAAATAATGCCGGCTTTTGCAAAAGCTTGAACAACAGAGCCAGCAGACACGTTAGTCCAAGCATCTACAATCCATCCGCAAACGGTGGCGTAACTTGCCCGGCGCTGCCTTCCACTTATCCTGAAACTGTGGTCTCCGTCGGCCATCCATCGCTCCCACGCCGCTCGCAGCCTTACTTTGAACGGCCGCTTCACACTGATGTCGAGCGGTGGAAGTTCCTTTGTCAGACCCCCGGGTTAACGGCGAGCACAGCGTTCATTTGATTCACCTTTTTTTCACATCGGCTGTGAGATGGGCACGCAGCGATGGTGATGCGTGGAAAAAAGCACCTGGTCTCCTCACATAGGCTACACCTCCCTCAGCTACGCTTTCATCATCTCCTCATCCATCCAGCCTTTTCCATTTGCGTTAATATCATATGTCATCAGAGCGCTGTGTCTGTCTCGCTGTCAGCTCCCAGATCAGCTTCTCTGATTGGTTGATGCGGCGCGTCCAGCAGCAAAACTTCAATTTTTCCATCTCGAGCAGCAGCGCGTTGGCAGATGCTTAAACGCTCCTGCTGCTCAAAACGCGCTGCGGGACCTTTTGCTGCACCTATACGCGCGTCAACCATTGACTTTGCATGTAAACTCGCTGCTTCTGCTGCACCTGCTGGGTCCGGTTCACACCGATGTCGAGCGGTTGAACAGCGAGCACAGCGTTAATTTGTTTCCCCACGTCAACCTAGCAGTCCAAAAACAATATCGGTATCGGATCGGAAGTGCAAAAACCTGGATCGGGACATCTCTATTTTAAACCAGATTATGGTTAAAAACTGGACAGAGCAGAATCACAGACTTAAATCTGTTTAGATATTTTAAACCATTCTGACTCTTGCTCTGAGTGCGCCTCTGTGTTAGTCTGTATTGTCCAGTTAAACATTAATTGATTTCTAAATTCGCTGCAGATTATTTCAATAATTGATTAATCAAAATGTTGGAAAGGAGTGCGGCGGTGGTGCAGGGGTCACCGTGTACGGAGGCTTTGGTGCTGTGAGGTGGTGTACACGCCCATAAAGCCACACGGAGAATAAAAGAGCGTCGTATTCGCACGCAGACCCACGTGTTTCGAGCAACACCCAGCCTCCAGAAAACAATTAAACCCTCCAATCACAGCTCGCAGAAAGAAAAGTGCAGTTTCCTTCTGAGAGTCAGTCCATCACTGAATCTGAGCACAGAGCCACTCATCCCATGAACGATCGTATCAGAGAGAAACGTGTTTCAGAACAGCTGGCAGCTTTACCTCAGAGTCAGGGTGTAATCTCCGTGCATCTTTGTGGAGGCGTCTCGAACCAGAAACGTACCGTCGGCGGTGTCCCTCAGCTTCTCGTTCACCTCCTCCCTGCAAACACAAGCAGCCGTCTGTGTTCTCTGCAGCCTCACGCGACTCTCCCTCCTCTTCCTCACAGGGGACATGTGATGGTCTGTCTCACCTGGAGATGTCCCCCCAGTACCACTCGGCGTCCTGCAGGGAGATGCTGTTGTTGAAGCTGCTGGGGGCTGCAGGAGTTGAAGACTTCACAGGTTTGGGAGGCAGAGCTGAAACACAGAGAGAGACGGTTCAACGTGTGGAGGACGTGGAACCAGGAAAAATAAACGTCTCCATCATCAGCCTGACAGCTGACTTCATCTTCCACACCTCATGGACTTATATTAACAGACGTACAGGAGGACAAAACAGCCTTTATCTTGCAGGAAAACATCAAGATTTAGATTACACATTAAAAGAAACTTCTTAAAAGACAAGGTTTAAAATAATGGAGATGAATTTCAGAGAAAAGGTTTGGTTTGTGAGTTTTCTCTGCTGAACATTGAGCAGATCCTGAAGAACTAGACCTCAGTTCTTCAGGTCATCTGACAGGGTGTTTAACGTAAAGATGAAACCTGTCAGAGACTTTTTGTTGCATTCTACTGAATATATGAACAATTTAAACACTTCCTGCCAGGAACCTTTAAAAAGAGACATTCTGACCCCTGAAATAAAAACCAGAGTTTCAGACAGCAGAGACGTTTCATCTGCTATAAAAACAACCAGAGGACGCTTCCTGTCTGGTTTCTGCGTCATCCGATCATTTTTACTTCTTATTTTACAGCCTTAACACTTCTTTGCTGTGATTGGTCCAGAGAGCAGAAGTATATAAATTCACTCAAAGCTTTTTTTATGTCCTTCCTTGTAAAAACCGACCGTTTCTAACTGCTGATCAGCTCCTCTGTGCGTCCTTAAGTTTGATTATTTAGGGGCTCCTTACCATAACCCTAATCATCAGCAACCAACAGACTCTGGCTGAACTCAATAAAAAGATAATAAAAACAATAAAAACTAACAAAAATAAATTAGAAATCAACTGATGAAAGTTTTTAAGGCTACTTTAAGGTTATCTTGAGTCAAACTGATGTTTTGCAGATTTTTTTGAGCTGATTTAAATGACATTATGATCAATTCTATCCAAATCTTTCTTAAACACAAACATTAACAAATAAAACTAATTTAACAAAGGATAGAAAATAGACAGAGTGTGAATGTGTGCTTTTCACATGATCTCAGGCTGCTGAAGGAACTAACTAATCAGAGATTGCATGCATGCATCGGCTGAAACAAAAGCGAATATCATCCAAACATATCGACCTGACAACGTTTCTATCGGTCAATCTTAGATCAAACAGCTGAAAGGGAGGTTGGGGGTTTAGTGGACGCAGGAGATCAAATCAGTTTTCTAACTTGGGCTGAATTTGACATTAAATCTCTGGTTCAAAAAATGCAAATGTTTTTAATTTTACATCTCTCTTTGCAGGTGATGAAGCAGACTAAAGATGTTTTATCATTATCTCCCTTTTATCTCCTCATTCCTTCATCTTTCCTCCTTTTTTTCCTGTTTTCCTCTCCTGATCCACTTACATTGCAGTGTCTATAAAATCTGTAAAACTCCCTGCATAATTATAATAAAGCTATTTACATGCATAAATAAAGCTGAACGCTATGGCGATAGCCGTACTGCTCCACTTGTGAAAGTAAAATCTGTTGAGCTCTTTTTGGCATCAAGACAATTATTCTTATTGTCACATCGCCAGACAGGACACTGTTAAAAAAAATTAAAAAATGCAGATTTCTAAATGGCAAAGAGACTAAACCTGTTTGTCACATTACGTTTAAAGAGATTCAACTCATCATTTGTCACATTGTCCTTTCAGGTGGCGGCAATAAGATGAAAGTGGGTTTTGCTGTAAGCAGATCTATGCAGATCAGTTAGAATTAACTCTGGACAAGCAACTGTTTAAAGCATTAACTGTCATCTGGTTATAGTTTGGTTTTCAGAAAAAAAAAATCTGTCAGGATTTTATGCTTTGGATTAAATACCAATAAAATCATTTAATGCAACGATTTGTTTGTTAGCTGCCCTTTATGCAAACAACTCAAGAGAATAATATCAAAGAAAACTGTTAAGGTTTTAATTCAATCCTCTGTTTGAGGCTCCTTTTTTGCTTCTTTTTCCTTTAAAATCAGGACTAAAAAGATTCAGCTTCAGTTCCCATCTGTTGTAGGAACACAGAACACAGATTCACTGACCGGATGCTCTGTCAACCACTGAAACATCACAGCCTTCAAAAATTCTCATGGCTTCATCTCTAAACCATAAACGACTAATGATGCACGTATTCATAGCTGTATTCAGAAATCCAGTAGACTCCAACATGAACAGCTCTACTTTATTGTCATGATGCCATCAGGTTGATTCTTGCTGCTGTTTAAGTCCCACTGCTGCGAACCTGCAGGCAGAAACTGGCTGAAGGAACACGAGCGGAACGATGAGTCAAACAGCCGTCTGTAAAAATGAGCTTTCACACATTATTTATAACCAACAATGAGAGGATTTCTGCTCATTTATTAGCTAAAGCTACGGCTGAATGGTATCAGGAAAACATTAGTAAATCCTTCGATGACACCTCCGTCCAACTGGCCAAATATTCCCAACAAACGGATAATAAAACCTTCTCTGGAATCTAAAGTCCTGCAGATGCTGCATTAAAACAAGCTTTATAAAACTGCTTTCAAATTTAAAAGGAAAACTAGATACGTTCTGCAGAACTAAATAAAGAGATTTTGCTGTCTCAAATATTTTTTAAAGTAATTAATTAAAGCAAACAAACTCAAAAACAAGACATGAGAAATTATAAGAAGATTAGAAAGCAGCAATCAGCTGCTGAAGTAGTGTTGGTGGGATACTTTCTATGCAGTATACACTGGAAAAACGATCTAGAAATCAAGTGTATTTAGCCTTAATCTGAGTAGGTAAACGAGAGTTTGCCAATGGAATGAGTATTTTTACTCTTACAATAAGATAATTAGATTAAAAAAAGAGTCCCTGTTCCAGCACCTTCTAGCAGCCAGCTGCTGATGCTACAGAGTTTATACAGGAATGAGTAACTCTAGTTTAATGCTTTTTAATGCTCTTAGAATTCATTTTAATGCCATCATCAAGTATATCAAATATACACGGCAAAATCCTTCGTAATCTGTTCCGTCGACAGGCAGCAGCCATGTCCGAATTCCTCTATTTCCAGCCACTTTTGCTGAAATGAGCATTTTCCCCATTCTCCACCTCAAGCTTCTTTTCTGAAAATGCTGCTTTACGATCAACCGGAAGCAGTTCCGCGCAAATATATCAAGATATATCTGATGAAATCGTTTTTAATCAACTTTTTTTTTTAATAAATCATTTTAAATGCCGCAATAGTCCTACTTAATGCATTTTGATGCCAATTCAGGCCATAATTTAAAAAAATAACAATTTAATGACAGAAACCCTGTGCTAATGCTCTTCCCCCGTTAGCAGTTTTCCAGATGAACGGGGCTAACCTCTGCGTGTCGGTTTATCTCTGACAGGATAACTTTGTGCTTCCAGTTTCAGAGAAGAAAACCATCAGAACCAGAACTGTTCCGAACATCAAACAATATTTTTACATTTCAATATTTATCAGCGTGCATTCTCCTCGCTGGCAGAGGCAGAGGTGTCCATAGTCCGGCCTAGAGGGAAAGATCTACAGGTTCTAGATGTCACCCTCGGTCCAAAAACCTAAATCAGACAATTTCTGGGCCTCTATAGAACTATGAGGAGGTGATTTTGAAAAACGCCTCTTAAAGCTGCAGGACATGAAACAGATATCTGATCAATTTGTAAACATTTAAGATTGATGAAATGTTTTTAAATCAGTCGGACCACCTGGCCAGGTTTGTAATAATTTATCATCTGCATCCTGGTATTTCCCTGTTAGGTAGCAGTGGTGGGCTCAAACTAGGTGGGAGTGATGCTTAACTTTTAAGAAAGGCTGCAGCCTAAAAGCAGCTGCTGTCTGTCCTCATGAACATGTGGAAATGGAGGAGCAGGTAGAGATAACGCTGCGTCACAGAACCTAAGAGGATCCATCCCAGCCTCAGACCCCCCCGCAGGGGTTCGTCCTCAATCCTACCTGGACTCTGCATGTTAATATAACACAAGATCTTCTCTCTTCCCATCGCCGGTTCTGACGGCGCTCTGCCTCGATCCTGGCGCTCCATCACAGCCTCTGACCCCTCTCAGATGTGTCAAACGACTCACAGGTGGAATTAAGCCTCTGGAATAACACCGAGCTCGGTTCTGATCCGAATCGCTGCAGCTCAGAACCTCAGAGCTGCCGTCATTTTAAAAAAACAACCCAACTTCCCCTTCAGTCCGTCTGCTTCAGTCTCTGCTCCACTTCAAAGCTCGGGAGGCAGCTTAGAGATGTGTGACATCAGCGCTGGCCTCAGCCAATCACGTTAAAGGCAGTGATATCACCAAGGCAACGCCCCCCTCTCCTCCGCAGCAGCATCTCTCTCCGTGTGGATGGATGATGTCACCGATTCGGCTGCTGCTCCTGCTGACCGACTGACTCACAATCAGAGGAGGAAGAAGGAAGAAACTGGATGGTCTCACAAACACACCAACCTGCATCAGGGTCGGCGCTCCGAGCTCATCCCATCATCCTGACAGGAAGCTGCTGATTTATTCCATAATATAAACACTTTTCAGTTTCTTACAGAAACCCTGATTGCTGGAGTTTCTATCATGTTTTGAAGCAGCTTCTTACCTCCAGTCTAAACTGCTGCTCATTTTGAGCTAAATATTGTGCAGCGGGCACAGCAGGGGGCGCTGCGGCCCCCAGATGTTCAGTTTTTCTACTGGCAGCACAGAAAGCCTCGAAGAAGACGAGCAGAAAGCAGATTGTTGGGCTGGGTGAGGAAGAGGAAGCCTTGTGATGAGTCTGAACTCTCACCACCATTTAGCGACTCATAGGTCATGTGACCAGCCATAGGATGAAAATCACCGCACAGACATTCAGCTTCACCATGTGACTAACAGACCAACAAACCCCCCAAAAGCACAAGCAGCCAGGAAAACCCCTCTGAACTAAAAGAAGACTGATCCACTCTAAGCTCTTTCATCGTCCTTATGGTCGTTACTTTGTGCTCAGTCACGTTGGAGGAGGGAGGGGCTCATCTATAAAGCTGGGATCACAGAATCATCCAGAACCTTTTGGTCCATTGAAGCTTTCAGGGTGGAACTCTGGTGCAGAAGCCCACATCCTGAAAACCAAACAATGATCCTCCCTCAATCTAACTTCCGGCAGATCTTTTCTCATAAGAATTTTAAAAAAATCCCAGACTGGTTCATCTGACTACCAGATGGAGAAACCTCCTTCATAACTTCAGAGGACGTTCCTCCATAGCTCTAGAGTCCATCAGTGTTGCTTTATACACCAATGCTTAGCCATCAGTGACGTGAGGCTTGAATCTGCTCTATAAACTGATAATGAGTCCATCTGGAGGCCAAACAAAGCTTGGAGGTAATAAAATGTTTCAGCTTATGAAGTGCAGATTTATCGCAAAGGAGGAGACAAACCCCAGCACCTGACAGCGATACAGCGGAATAGTTTCAGCTATATAGTGTTTACATATGACATAAACCCTAAAACATAACAAAAATGTCAAGATAAAATTATGTCTAAATGATCAAATATAATTTTGATCAAATTGAAAACATCATAACAGCCCAAAATTCACTAAATTCATTTAGTGTTTCTATTAAATTCTGGACTCCAGATGTAAAAATAAATATATGTAAATATGTCTGGATTAATTTAGTTTGATCTAAATATAGCTTACTGGATTAACTATTACCAGCATGAACTCAAGTAAAACTGATCTGGTTACTAATAGAGTCTGAACATGAACCGCTTTAATATTAAAGCAACACTTCAACTTCTGTCCACTAGAGGTGCTAGACCTTTAACTTCCAGGTTTAGCTCCATGACTTCAAAGTTAAACAACCTCCCTTGTTCAGCTTTTTTGAAGTCATTGAGCTCCTGGTAAATTCAAGGCCACATTCACTCCTCTAGATTAAACCTTACATCAGAGAACCAGAAATATGTCTGATCAGGTAAGGATCAGATGTTCAGCTAAGAACTGTTAGCTTAACCAGCTCTGGTCTTATAAAGGAGGTCAGACTGCCAGAAAGCAGCGCTCTGGGTCACATGACGCAGTCAGAGACGGATCCCACCATCTCAAACTACTAAGCTGAGTTTTTAAGGAGCATCGATACACTATTCTAAATGAAGATAATCGTTTGTGTTGCTTTAAAGGTATAATGGAGGATTTTTGCTGATTTTTGAAAAGACACACCCTCTCCATTTATAAAAAAATCACATGCACAACACACCTTCCCATAAAAAAACAGATTTTTTCACATAACATATTACTGTTTAACCAAAGTGTCCGTAATTTGTTTTGACTCTATTTTGACAACTTTCCATTATTGTAAGTAAGTGGAAACAAACGCTGCCCAGAACAGGGCTGATTACCACATCTGTATGATGAACTGTTCTCTCTTTGCAAAGATATGAAAATAAGTGCTGACTGATTGAAATCCATCCATCTCCATTAGTTGAATACTTTTTTCTCCCACTAGAACGGCCTTACGTAAAAACATATCACTAGAATGATTGACAGTTAGGAGGAAAAATTATTTTGATGATCCACCTGGGAAAATAACATCCTCCACTGTACCTTTAAGTTTGTTTATCAGGGAAGCAGATGCTTAGACGCCATCTTTGTTTCTTGAACTAGCTGAGATTCACTCAATAAAAACCCAGCTCTGGATGACATCACTGATGACATCATTGAGCTTAACCTCCCTGACCAACATGGCGTTCGACATCGGCACTGAGGCGGGAAGAACTGAGCCAGAACCGAGCAGCTGGTGATCCAGTTTAAACCTAGCCACCTCTGATATGGATCAGACAGTTTGGACTTACCTGGTGCCGCTTGGTTCATGTTGAGCTCTCCGGTTATCAGAACCTCCAGAACCTGAATCAGAGGATCCAGAGCCGACTCGGACCTGGATGGAAAACAAAGCATCTGTGAGTTCTGACAGCGCCGCTCACATCCGTTCCTAAATGATTTGATCAATCTATCCTCCCTGCTGAGACCCAGATAGAGGTTCTGTTCAGCGGTTCTGAAGTTCTATATTAAGCCTAGAAGTGAGGGGAGTCTGACTGACCCGGCCGGCTGTCGGAACAGCACGGGGCTGAAGTTCTCCGCCAGGATCCGGGGGCTCAGCTGGTTCCTGGAGCCGTGCAGACAGAGGCGGGCCAGGTGACGGACCACGCTCAGCAGGGTCAAACCGTACTGTGGCGGGTAGGCGGGTGAGCTGGCCACGCCCCGTAGAACCTGGGCACAGTCCTCCGGGTCTCGGACCTCTGCAGACAAAAACAGGAGATTTCTATCTGGACAGAAACACCCATCAACCAGCAGGAACCATTACCCAGTCTATAAATGTTAGACCTCCAAGTTCTGGAAGGTTCTTAGGTTCTATAAAAGCTATTTGGACCAGGAGGTTCTGGATTATGCTGACCTTGGACCGCATGGCTCATGTCAGCCTGCAAGGAGGGGGGCAGGATGGGACCAGGGAGATCCTGCAGGAACCGGACCACCGCGTCACACAGAGACGGCACATCCAGCTGCTCCAGGTCTGAAAAACAAACGCACATCAGTTCACCTGAAGGGAACCGGCTGAAGTAGAACCCCGGGAGTCATTTGGGTTCCTCACCGGTGTCGGCCAGCTGCCGGGTGTCCAGAACTCCTCCGCTCATGCTGCGGTACAAAGCCGGACTGTCAAAACCTGGACAGAGAGCAAAGTATCGACCCGGTCACCATTTTTGAAATCCTCTCACAGAACCGAGCCTGAATCTGACTGAAACAAACCGAACCCTTCAACCAGAAGCGGGGCTTCGGGTCGGGTCAGTTCTGAACAATTTCACAGTAACATCAACGGAAGCAGAGCAGAAGCTGGTGTCATTTAGGGACGGATGTTTGTGGTTTTAAAGGAGAAAAAAAAAACAGCTTCTAAAACTAAAACTGGAGCTAAAGGGAAACTTAAATAAATTATAATTAAATATTCTGATTTCTTCGTTTAATAAATTAAAATTGGATGTTTACGTCAATTCAGAGAACCCAGAGGGTTCTACGGAAAGTCTGGTTTAAACACGAAGGGTTCCTCTACCTTTGGTCTCGATGATCTCCATCAGTCTGCTGAGGAGAGGCGGGGCTGTGTCTGGGGGTCCGAACTGCTCAGGGAGGTCCGGCAGCGCCAAAGCTGAGGAACAAACAAAACCAAAGTTTAAGAGGAACCAGCAGCCATGTTTGGTCCAAAACCTTGAAAGCAGACAAATCAACCAGGTGACGTCATGGTAAATCAGGTTAAGCAGGAAGTAGAGGTAGCAGAAAATAATTCATAAAGCCAAGTTTTAATGAACGTAATCAGATAAGTTTTACTAACTTTATCATGTCAGCTAGTATTACTGACGCTGCATGACATCCAGAGAAATGAGGCTACGTTCAAACAGCAGACTGAAGTGACCCAAATCCAATTTTTTTACCCATACGCGACCTGTATCTGATCCGACAGTCTGAACAACACAGATCCGATTTTTTCCAGTGTGACCCAGGCCACTTGGCTTTGTGGTCCTGAATCCGAGACGAATTTGACCTTTTCAAATGCGTCCAACCTATACCAGAATAGTGACGGAGGTCATTATTCTGCATCTTGCTACGCAGAAGCGAGAACAAAAACAACAACTATGGCAGACGATGATGCGGAGAGCAGTCTTTATGTTTAACCATCTTGAAAAGATTTTGTTTTTAAGGTTGAGAAAGATCGCTAGATGCGCTCCAGCACTAGCATCTATGTTTACTTCCGTAAACAAAGAGCACGCTGGCTTGTAACGTCATTACGTCCTCTGTGCAGTTCACACGAGATCACATACAAGTGGCATATATTTGGAAACGTGAACAGCAATGCAAAAAAAATCGAAATTGAGCATTGAGGCCTGCAGTGTGAACGTAGCCTTAGATTCTAATGCTGCAGCACAACCAGCTGATTGCTCATGTGAGCCAGGACGTGTTTAACAAATGCCACTCCTTCTCCTCTTTAGCACATTTATGCTGTTCCTTTTTAAGTTAATAACCACCTCAAATAACTAGAAACATGTTTTTTTGTGAGATTTAGTAAGTATCTTCATATTTTGCTTTTCCCATGAAGATCTTCTAATGCGATACTTTAAAAAACTCAAAAGAAAAAGTTGACGGAAACACATCTAGTAAAATTTATAACAACTTAGAATCTCCACGTTTCTACGGCCTCCTCTCGCCCGTAGAAAGGTGGAGATATGCACCAGCACCCCTCTCAACCCTACTTGGGATAAAGCGTGTTAGAAAATGGATGGATGGATTGATGGAGAATCGTTTTGATTTAATTCAGAGATTTAACTTTCCGCTAACAGCTGCGTTTAACTGGGAACTGCTGAAAAAACTTCTGAAGACAATTATAAATTCTCCCCTATTCTGGTTCTGCTGAGGTTCTCTCACACAGTTATTTGTGTTGCTCTACGGAAGAGGATTAGGGCCACTGAAAAGAAAAAGAAAAATTAACTGATTTTTTTATTTTTATTTCAGTTTAACATGGGAAAAAAGTCAGAACTCTGACTTTTTTTCTCAGAATTCTCACTTTTTTTTAATCAGAATTCTGACTTTAAAGCTGCAGTCTGTAACATTGAGAAGAGAGCAGACTTCGACTGAAAATTTGAAGAAAAACAGGTTTCACGCGACTCCCCCACCCTCTCTGCTTCACTCATGCCCCACCTCCAAGCCCCACCCCTCTCACAGCACCTGCGCGGCTACCGCATGCGACCAGAAGCGTCCAAGCAGCGTACGCGGCATGGAGTGTGAACCGTTAAGAGCGATAACAAGCAGCTAGATATAAGATGCTGGTTATACCTTGCCGTGTAAGCAGCTGTCGGCAGGGGCAGTAAGGGCAGTTTCTCTTTCGCTGGTGGCTGTCGCTCCACCATGACTTCCACGCGCGTCCTCCTGACACTCCATTAGACGCTCCTCTGGCTGTGATTGGTTGTTTTGACTCGTCCCGAATTATTCTTTTCAGATTGAAATACAGGCAGTATGCGGGACCAATTGAAGCAGTTTTTTTCACAGGTTACGTATCACATGTACTGCTGTCTGGGCATAGGGACAGTTTTAGCCAATATGACAAAAAAGTGATTTTTTTAAAACTTACAGACTTCAGCTTTAATCTCAAAATTCTGACTTTAATCTAAGAATTTTGACTTTTTTATTGTCAGAATTCAGTCAGAATTCCTATAAAAAGTGAGAATTCTGAGATTAAAGTGAGAATTCTGATTTAAAAAAAAAGTCAGAATTCTGAGATTAAAGTCAGAATTCTGACTTTTTTCCCCATGTTAAACTGAAATTAAATTTAAAAATCAGTTAACTTTTTTTTTTCCGTGGCCCTAATCCTCTTCCGTATCGCTCCCTTTCTAATCTTTGCTGGTGAAGATTCTCAGTCACCCAGGCCATAGTCTTTCCAAAACAGTAAAAAAAAAACAACTTTGTTTCAAAGTTTGAAGATGTTTAACTTCCCATCCAGGAAGCTTTTTCCTTTCTGATTCTTTAAAACATTACATCAGAAAGCAGAGCTCCTCCACCATCACAGCTTCAGCTGAACACTAACACTGAGCGCAGATCTCCGTCTCACAGGCAGCAGAGCAGCTTTAGAAGATTAAACCGGCACGTAGGCCAGAGTTAACAGAGCAGATGTTGGCTTCCAGTGATTAACTGCTGGAAGTTGTGCCTTAATTAGCTCAGACTCTTCTGAACGCAGCTCTCTGCTCTGAAAGCGGCAGATGATTGAAATGTGTTTCATGAGTCTGGCTGCTTTGTGGGGAATTTAGCCAAACAAAGAAGAAGCCATGCATGTGTGAAATGAATCAGAAAAAAAAAAAATCTGAAAACAACCAGATGAGCAAACCGCTAATTAAAACAAGAAGGTCATCTGCAAACATTTAAGCGGTTATTTATGGAAACTGCTTATGAACATCTGAAAACGACCAGGAGCTGCAATAGAAGCCTGGAAAAAAACAAGTTAATCGGCTTTAGAGGAGGAAACTCTGCTTGGATCTGATTCTAATGGAAGCTAAACCTCCAGATCCCAGCAGATGATGGGAAGCTGCCAGGTTTCTGTATAACTGTACGGTGAGAATCAGGCTTGTGGGTAACGTCAGGTTTAGAAACGGACGTGGCGTTCTTCAAAAAGTAATCCATCCTCTTTACGGCTCTGACTGTTTGGCTCTTTAGCCGATCTTACAACGAAAAGGCAAAGAAATAAAAACCTCAGCATGTTTGTTTCTGAAAGGAGGAAATCAGAGAAGAAAGAACAGCAGTTCTGGGAAAAAGGCAGGTAGCAACAGCAGCACACACACACACACTTCCTGTGCTCCACAGTAAAGCTGATGGCAGCAGAACAGACCTGAGATCTGTTCAGTCAGCAACCACAGCCCTCACTAAACACCAGCTGTGTATATGCCAACATCTGACACTGTGGAGGAGGAACAGATCTGCTGGGGGGGGGGCGTTCTGGGTCATTAGAGGAAGAAAAAAGGTCCAGTTGGACCTGAAACTATGCACCAGGGTTCTGTTTAGAAGCAGATATTTATCTGTTCTAGTGAATAAAACAGTAGAGAGGAAGCAGCTGAAGGAAACCAGCCTGAGTCACAGCAGGGGAGAAAAAAAAAAACATGTTTGCTCAACGAGAAGCAGAAACATTAAAGTTAAAATAAAACAGGGAAACATTTTTATTCCTGTGCGTCAGCAGATGATGACTTACTCTCCGACTCTGAGTCGGTCCTCACAGATGCTGCCGATGGTGGTCTGGGTGGGCGGGGTTTCGGAGTGGGCGGGGACATCCTCTTCCTCCCAACAAACTCTACATACGTCCCTGGGAAGTCACCTTTTTCCTGCCGAAAACAGAGAGAGAGGCTTTAAGTAGAGGTTTAATGATTTTCACCGACTCCATGGATCCCAGAACCCGTAAGAGACAAAAACCACTGAGAAGGAAATACCACATGTGTATTGGTTCATTAAGGAGACAAGAACCTTCAAACATAGAAAGAGCTGCAGAAAATACATGAAAAACAATTGTTGCCTGATCTTAGGAACACAAAGAGAGAACGCTGCAGCCCAGTCCTGAAACGTTCAAACCTAACTGAGCTGGTTCTGATTCACAGGGGGGGGCGTCATATTTCAGCGGATATCATCTCAGCCCAGTCAGACCCCTGCTGCTGTGACCACTGTGTGGTTCTGGACCACTCTGTCAGCTCTTTCATCAACCCTCTGAAGGATCCACAGGAACGCAGATCAAAGAGAGCAAACAGAGTCCAGCTGCAGAGTCAACGCAGAGCACGGCGCTGGCAGCTGCTTTACCCTCCTGTACCTAATATTCTGGCCAACTCTACCAGGGAATGTAGAGCACAGACCACAAACTAATACACAACCAGTGGAAGCAGAACATTTTCAAGGCCCCTTCAAGTCGTCCAACAGTTAAAATAATATATATCCAGTAGGGATGGAAGGGTTTATGAAAACCGTCCGAACCGTTCGGTTCGACTGTCTCGGTTCGATTCGCGTGTGTTGCGTTCGGTTCATGCGCTGCTCCTTTTTCTCATAGGCGAAGCGTTTACACTCCAGAGCAGAAGGTGGCGGTACTGCGACCAAAGCCAACCACCAGTAGTAAACAAGAAGAAGAAGTGAAGACGATAACGGCGGAAAGAAAGTTGTGGATAAAAGTGCAACAGTGTGCAAGCATTGTGCAACACGTTTTGTTTATGCTAACAGCAACATGACCAACATGTCATGCTAACAATCAACATATACCGAACCGAACACCGTGACCACGAAACCGCGAACCGAACCGTGGATTTTGTGAACAGTTCCACCCCTAATCTCCAGGTATTTTTCCATCCTTTGTGATGTTGTTTATGAACTAAATCATAACATGTATATAAATTCTTATATTTATGAACTAGGGACGTAAATAAATAATTGACTTACAGGGAATCAATTAATGGTTTATAAAGGTTAACATTTGTTCAATCTTACTAACACAACGTCTGCTTAGAAGGAATTTATTTCAGCGTTGTAATCCTGCTGCTGCCATTGTTCATTTCTAAGAGTCTCACTGGTATTTGCTAGATAAATAATTCTAGATTGGAAGCAAGCTAGAGCAGGAATATAAATCGATCCAGAGTCCAGTCTGGGAATCTGCTTGATGGAGACAAAGATTCAGAATGAAAATTATCCGGTTCTCTTAGTAAATATTAACAGTTGATTAATCCCTTAAGTTATCAAATACAAAGCACCCATTTAGCCGCGCCGCATGGCGGAACAGCATCGACTTCTCTGTGCTGTGAAGGTGAGGATGTGATGATAGAAAACTAAAGAGCATTATGAAACCTATTTGTAACATTGCAGGAAAAAACTGTTAGCAATAAACACAGTAGATTTAAAAGGCTTGTGTGAGTTGATGCATTTCATGAAGCTAAGTTTGAACTTTTCCTCAGAGAACGATCACAACTGGCTGTTTAAAGGAGCTGCTAACAGGACAGTCTGTCCCAGCACTGGATGATGGATTACAATAAACACACAGAGCTATATCAGTTAGCATACTCTGCAGTGAAATAAGGTGGCAAATAATCTGACAGCATGTCAGAGGGACACACCCTGTCTGTTCATGGAAACAGTGATCGAAAGAAGTCTTTTGACACGAAGACTTTAGGATGTTTTCACATCTCTTACTGCAAAAAAATTAAAACTCATTGGCCTGAAATGGTCCAGTTCTCTATTCTACAGATCTGAACTGGCACCAGTGGTTCTCTACACCTTCCCTAAACAACAATAAGACAGCTGTGAGGATGTTCTGGAGGGCAGACTGGGCAGAATCTACAGCAGCGTACCTGAGTGGTCTCATTGAAGCCCGGCAGCCAGCCGATCTCTGCTGGCCGCTCCTCGTCTCCGTTGCTGCAGCCGAGCGCCAGCAGCGCTCCTTTGGTGACCAGCAGCATGTCTCCGACATGCAGGTCGATGTCCTCCTCCCTCTCCCTCTTGTAGTCGTACAGCGCGCGGTACTGAAAGCCCTCTGTGCTCATCCTGACGTCAATATGGCTTCAGAGTTTCTATCAAAAACTTTATCAACTCTGGGGTAGAAAAAACGGTAGAAAAATAGGGTTCTCTGCGGTCCTGAGGGCGTCTAAAGTGGAGAATAAAGTAAATATGGCGTTTCCAGCTGTTGGTGCGTCTCTCCTGTCTCCATGTTTGCTAATGTTCTGTCATCCCTCCAGACCCATCCACAGTCGCTCGATCAGAGAAGCATCTTCCTCCTTCATGAACTGGAGACTGGGCGGAGGTAGAGGCCACATCTGTGGAGCCACGGCTCGACCTGGGAGAAGAAACAGGATTTTAGCAACGAGCAACGGGATGAGAGCAGCTGCAGTTTATGGACACATCAAACCGTCTGCAACTGATTTACGATGTCATTGACTCTGAGCCGCAAACTGTAGCTGCTTCTAGAGTCTTAGAATATTAAGAATTTATATGAAGTTTAGTTCTGTTTAAATATACAGTGCAAAGTCTCGACATGTTTTATCTAAAGGCGATTTAGTAAAAACTATTTAAGAAAATCGTCCAGATTGGTCAAAAGGTTTCTAAGGAAACCCAGCTGATTGCATCTAATCACTGACTTTGCAGAAATAGCTCCTCTGTGAGCGTGTGGCATGTCACTGACTTTGCAGCAACCTCTCAGCCAGCGCGCATGCAGCGGCGTTCGTATATTTAGCAGCGGTTATGCAGCCGTAGCCTCATGCAGGGCTTCCCCAGGATGTTGTTTAGCTGCAGCGATGAGCAGACCAGATAAAACCGGATCTTTGGGTTTTAAATCAGCAAATACGTATAAAAATAGTTACAGATTATATAACTGATTAACAGCTGAAGAAGGCTTATGTTTGAAATGATACCAAGAGCATCAGAGTTCATCACCATATTTCTCAGAAGTACCACTGAAACCTAACTTGCACCAAAGCTCAGACTGTAACTGGACACAGTTTACCGTCAAACAGGTCAGGTGATCCAGACGCACTAAAACCCAGCTCTCTGGTTTTGGTTAGTATGAACAGAGGGGCTGAAAACTTTATCAACTCAAAGAGCCGCTTTGTCCTCAGCAGCAGCAAAATATATTCATGAAGAGCCATACTGAGGATTGTATTAATATTAAAAGCCTAGGAAATTAAACTTAATTCTTCATCTAAAATCAGAAAAAAAGAAAATCTATCATTTGACCTTTAACAAAGAAAAAAAAACATATAATTTGCAAATTAAGCAAGCTTAAGACTAGTCATTACTTGTAAAAGCTGTGTACTATTGTTGCCCTGCTGCTTTAGAAATTCTATGCAAATACTGCATAAAAACTTCCAGAATAACCTTTTTCTGATGCCTTAATAATTACAATAATTTCTTATCTAGTTTTGTTAGAGCCACATAGAATAGATGGAGAGAAAAAAATAACAATAAAGTTATTAAAATCCTAGCTAAATGCAGCAGAAAAGTGAAAAAAACTAATAAGTAGATTTTAACATTTTAATTTTTTTTATTAATTATTCATTATTTGTGAGTCATGGCAGGAAATGGGTATTACTGGTTCACTTTCACAGCTGAATCACTTATTTTAGAGGAAAGGCGGCAAATCTTATTTAGGGGAAACATGTATGAAGGTTCCAATTTAGCTCTATGACCATTAAATTAATAACATGTAAAATACTGAGCAATCCTTTTTCCTGAAATATTTAGTTTTTAATCAAAAATACATCAACTTTGAATCATTAAATGAAGATGTTGAAATGTTCAAGTTAATTAATCAACCAAATTATTAAAAGATATGCAGTTGGAACAATCATGGTTAATTTCCAAACTAATAAATCTACTATAAAACATTTAAAACTAAAGAAAAACCTAACAGAAAAAAGTATTTCATGGGTCTTACCAGGGGAAATTACCAGAAATTCTACAGCCTGGATGTAAAATTGGCAACTCATAAAATAAATATATATAATTTAAAAAAAGAAGATTTAAATTAGTGTACTTTTTCAAAACTTGAAGTTTTTCCAAGGGGATGTTGGGGATTTCGTTCAGTAGGTGGGGGGGACCAGCTGACTCAGGTTCTCCATATTAATATATGCATTTAATTAAGAAACGTTTTCAACAATTACAATGTTATAGATTTTAGTTTAGCCCTTTTAACAGTTCATGAAAAGTTAATTAGAAATAATTTAAGAATTAGGAAATTCATTTGAAAAAAAAAAGGTTCTGATCTTAATATTTTTTTGGTTAATTTATTGACATGATTAATAAACTAATCAAATCTGTATACATGTCTACATGAAACTACAAATGATTTAAGCCCCTTGATCCTGCAAATTTTCTGTCTTTTTAGCATCTTATTTTAACATAAGTGCCCCTTAACTGCTGCAATAAACAACATAAAACACATTCTATGTCCACACATCTATTTAGACCAACTGATTATATGTCTATATAAAGCTATTTATCAAAGAAGAACTAATTGTCAATAAAGTTTTCTTTTTCTGATTCTGGAGATCTAATCAGACTACAGTATAGATGGATTCTTATTTTATTATTTTCCTCCAATCTTTTTGTCTTTTCTTCTTCAGAGCAATCAGCGCAGACTCGCAGGCATAATGAATGTTTAACACCTTATTAATGCCATTTACTTTCCATTTCAAGTATTACTTTATATGTAATTCCTTCAAAATGTCGAGTTTTATACTTTACATATTTTTAATTTACTCTTAATATTTCTTAAGCACTTTTAGACTAAAAGTTGTCATATATAAAAGAGAATTGTAAGGATGGTATTTAAATACAGTTCAGGGGTTTTAAAGTTAAATCCCTATAAGAACGTTTAATCTTAAAGGTGGTTTAAAGCAGAAACTGCTCCGTGATGCAGTAAAGGCTGCTGGACAGAAACAGGAGCCCGACAAGAAAAGCTCCAGGAAACAGGAAACCAACAAGCTAACTGTGCTAGCTGGGGGAAAAAAAGACGTCTCTCACCTTTTAGATTTTAAAAGCTTTATCGCCAACAAAAGCCTCCAGCAGACAGAACTTAGAACAACATGATGGGTTCCGTCTCCACGGGTTCTCCAGAACCAAAATAGATCCAATACTTAGCGAATATCCTTAGGATGGAGACGCTGGAGGATCGAGCGACCGTCCGTTCAGCTTCTCGGCAGCAGACTGACGTCAAGTTATCTGGCACGTACACCTTTTTCCGGTATAGACTTTCAAAATAAAAGCAAACAGCCTGACGCAAGCGTAAAATCTTTTAAAATAGTTGCTTTTAGAATATAATTCCCGTCTGTTTATTTTACATCTGATTTTTTTATCGCCAAATAAATAAAACGTCATCATTAATAAATACTTTTAAACTAATTTTTTTTTACATTATTTGCATTGAAACAACGGTGTCTTTTATTAAAGCCAGATTACAGCTGGACACGGGGGCAGGCCTCCTACGTCACATCCGCTAACCTAGATTTTAATGCAGCGTGCAGGGCTGTCAGACAAAGGCAGGGTGGGGGGTTGTCGCGTTCTAGCTGCCCTCATTCATTCCACCCAGGCTTTGAAATGCCTGCGTGGGCGTGTTTTCTGTGTCAGGAGAAAAGTGGGAGACTCCTGCATCATGTGTCTGCTGCTGATTTTCCAGAACAAACCGTCTGCACATCACATGCAGGGCTGTGCGTCCACACTTTAACCGCTGTAGAGGCTCTCCTTTAAAAACAAGGTCGTTTATTTACAAGAGACAGACATGCAAACAGTAAAACCTCATGTTTAATATTAAAACCACAAATCCTGGAATTCATCATAAAAATATGAAGCCAGTCTGAGGGTTCAACCCCCATCTCAGCTCATTAATAGTAAAACAGATTCGTTTAAAAGCTTTAAATATTCATACATGAGGAATAAAAAAAACAATTCATAGCCCGACATGTTCCTGATATAAAAAACATTTTCACATTTAAATTGTAAACGGTAAAAAAGTTAAAACATGAATTGTAAATTTGGAAAAGCATCCAGTTTATAATCAGAGATTTGGGTTAAAAAAGGGTGGATCAGGAGAGAAAACTGACATCTAACTGAAAGTCTTCCTTCATGCAGGCTTCAATCTACTCATCCAGAGTCAGGTTACAGTGGAAATGCGTCCAGGTCCTCGTCTCGCTACAGAGGAAGACATTTTCAGCTGCTCGCACCGAGGATCTCATCCATTCTGTCAGGATAAACTCATTTATTGTTTGGTGAGAGATGAACTTCCAGTTGTTGATCACTTTAAATGTTAAAATAACATTTAACCAAAGTTCCATTTCATTGGATCGTCTTGATCATTAATCATTCGTGGTTTTTTGTGACACTTGTTTTCCTCTCATCATGCATCACCATCATTTGATCAAACTCAACGTTGACGTTTCAGTGAGACATGAATCCAGCATCAGTAGGGAACATCTCCACAGATTAGGCTGCCACACCACATGTTCTACCTTTAATACCAGTGGAACCTCTTAAAAACTCTGTCTACTGCCCCCTGGAGGTGACACCGTTCAATGCAGACACCGTCTACATGCTGAAGATGGTTCCCAGTTTGTGGACAGACAGGTGGATCCGGCCCGACAGCTGCAGCTCGTCCTTCAGCAGACGCCCCACCTGCTCCGAGTACAGAACGTCGCAGAACACCCAGATCTCTGCCTGCTCCCGCCGGATGTTGGCGTTGCATGGTGGAAACCCGGAGCTGCGTACGGATCGGCTCAGGGAGCGCCACACCTGGGGACAGAGAACAAATTAATTTACATATTCAAGGGAAAAAGGTTTCTTTATAACATCTTTAAATTAGGCAAAAAACCAGCAAGACTTGGAGGGAATGACTGCATTGCAAAACAAATGTAATCTAGATAAGTAATTTTTCTTAAAATAAGGGATTTTTTTCCCTTGAATTAAGGAGGTAAGTCCGATACTTTGCCAAAGGAACAAAAAAATTACATTTAAAATAAGAAAAAACAATTGAATTGTCTTATTTCAGGTGCATACTGTCTAATCATCTTATTTTAAGAGTAAATATATTCATTCCACTGGCAATCTTGATTACCTCTTCAAATTTAGGGTAAATACACTTAATTTAAGAATAAGAACAAAAGCATCCAACACACAAGGCACCACTGTTTAACCTCAGCGATCATCAGACCAGATTAAAAATATTTCCACCCCGTTTGTTGCGTCACAAAGAGCCACCTGATGGCGTTTGGCTGAGCTGACCTAAATCAGATCAGGAGGCTGAGTCCAAACAGCTGAACACAGCGGAAAATAAACCGACCTGAGGGATGGAGGCACAGATAAAGATCCACAATCCCAGCAGAAACAACCTCCCGTCTCCCTCTGTGAGGGTTCTGGTTCTACAGGCTGAGATCTTTTCCCATCAGATCCTGAAAGATGTTCCACAGATATAGAAAGATTCAGATGGAGCCGTGGGATAAAACCAATCAGGATGTTCTCACCCAGGGGAACAGCTACGTATTTTCTGAGATGTTTGCAGTCGTATTAAAACAATCTAGTTAAATCAATTATTACTTTCCAAGCAAGAAAATAACCAGAAGCAAGTCTCCTTATTGTTTCTGCTTTGATCTGTTAAAGGAAAATCGGATCAGCAAGGAATAATCAATGGGTCTTAATTTATACCTAAAACTAATAAGTTCGCTGTTATTTAATGAATTTGGCTTTAATTAGTAAAAAATGAAAACAATAAACACAAGCACCGAGCCCAGGAGCGGACATTTTTGCCCAAATATAGTAACACTTAGGGGTGTGAATAATAATCCTTTTGTATCGATGCATCGATCCAACAGCTAACGATCGATGCATCGACACGTCCGCAAGAGAATCGATTCATGTTCTTTTTTTCCTGTGGTCTATTTTTATCCATTTGCTCCTGGGTGTAATTCTCCTCCCATGCTGCGGTGGCGCTAAACCCATTTTGCCCTCCTACCTTGCTTCCTGGTTATACTCTTACAGCAGTGTGTTGCAGTGAGCTTGATGCTGTGTAGCAAGTGGTCTGCGCTACACGCTGTGGGTCTAGATACGGCCGAGGCGGCGAGGAAGTGGGGACGAGTTTAGTGCGACGACGGAGGGACATGAGGGCCAAAAAGAACGGAGATCCAGGTGGAAAAGGGTCCCAGCGTTCTCGCGCACCTCGCTCTTCTAGCGGGTCAAACGTCACGTGTTGTTTTCTGCAATTTCGGTCATAAAAACAAAACAAGCCGGCCTCCTGTCTGCGGCGCTGTCTGCGGTCAGCTACAATTTGGGAGAGGAGCAGCGGAGCGTCTGTGGAGGGGTTGGGACTCATTGCAATGATTTTGTGCAGTATTTTTTGATGCAGGGCCTTTCAGAATCTATATCGCAGGGGGATTATTATTTTACACTGAATGAGGTTTTAATAGGAATAGGTGGAGTGCAACTTTTCTACTTCTGTTATTTGCAGTTGTTTCTCAAAAAAAAAAGCTTAACAATGTTACAGCTTTTAGTGATTTATTTCAAATTTGAAACATTGTCTAGCCTGTAAGGTAAAAAAAAAAAAAAAAAAAAAAAAAGAAATGTACCAATTAATCGAATTGAATCGTATCGCAGTGTATTCTTGAGTATCAAAAATAATCGAATCGTTGGGTTAGGAAATAGATACTGAATCGAATCACCATGATGGGTGTGATTTACACCCCTAATAGCCCCTCCCTCCTGCCATCTTCCAGCAGTGACATCACGGTGCGGTAACCCTAGCGCCATTCTCCCCGCTTTACAAGCTAAATCAATGGGAACTACTAGACACATCTGCAATCAACAACAATGGGCTCTATGCACAGCTCCACTACTTCCTGAATTTAAGGCAGCTCCTTTGTTTCCTGTCTTTCATTACTGGACGAACTGATTAATCCAGGTGTGTCTGGCCAGTTACTTAGGTCATACACACCTGGATTAATCAGTGCATCCAATCATGAAAGACAGGAAACAAAGGAGCTGCATTAAATTCAGGAAGTAGTGGAGCTGTGCATAGAGCCTATTATTGAAGATTTCCAGAGGACTTCACCATTGAAATTCACCAGAGCTATAGTGAAACTGACAATGCCCACGTGCTGGAATACATCAGGTAAAAGTGAAACAAAAAAAAATGTTTTTCCTCTTTTCTGATTCCTGATCCTCGACAGACGGGTTGGTCGTTGGATCGCCAACTCTAAGAGGGAGGATTTGCCATCGAACTTCTGTCCAGAGAAAAAACCCGTAATATGTAGCCAACATTTGGAAGAAGAATGTTTTCAAGATGACTTGGATAATAGCGCGTTGTGACAAACACCAGATACAGCACTGGGACTTGATCAACAGCCGATACCGCACCGTGACGTCACAAACCAGTAGGTGGCAGTAGTGTTCTTTGACAAACATGGATGCCTCCAGTAAAACACATTCACATGAAAATTACTCTGAATTAAAAACACTGATCATTTATTGAACAGGATGAAATAATTTGATATTTTAAGAACTTTCTGAAGTTTGAATTCTAAATATGTTTAGATTTTTCCTTAAAGCCGGTCAGTAGAGACCTTTCAGTGTTTAAATCCCAGCTAAAAACAGACATTTCTCTCCTCGCTGTTCAACTGAGGATGATGATTTTTTTTGTTTAGATTGTGGTTTTATTTTCTACAGATCTTTTAGAAAGGGTCTTAAATGGTGCTATTATGCATTTTTTAAAAATCTTATTTAGTTGCCTTTACACTAAAAATTTGAACTATTTGTATAACATATAAAGCACTAGAAGCAGACTGTGTGGATTGTTGAAATGCTCTATATAACTGATTGTTAATAAACTCTAGAATAAATAGAATAAACTCTGCCTGCATCTGTTACTCAGTAATGCTGTGAATCAGACAAATCACATCTCTTTCATTTTCAGTTTTACCACCTGAAAGCCGTCTTTCTGGATCTTCTTCAGCTGCCAGTCAACAGCTGACATCCCTATTCCAAAGAATACACCCTCACCCTCGTCATTAGCGCCGCTCAGGTGCGCCGGCCCCACCCACTTTCTCAGAGGAGCTCCGGGGCCCAGAAGTGAAGGAACAGAGGGCCAAACATTCAGTGACTGAGCCTCAGCTGGGTTATTGATTATATAACCTACAGAAAACAGTCGTTTCATCCAGAAATGGCCGACTGGATGTGATCAAGGTTGGGCATCGTTTTAATTTGAACAATTCAGGTTCAGATTCCTTCATTCAGTCTGAATCCAATCATTAGATGTCCTAAATTTGCTGGCTAACCAAAACTGTCTTCATGCAACAGTCTGAATCTCTCAATGAAATTAAATTCATTGAACTTCTAACTTTATGTGAACGTTACTATAAATGATCACATAGTTATTTTACAACCAGTATATAAATATCAAACCTATGAACTCTAACATAATCGTATGGTTTGCTTTTCACAGTTAGAGTTTCTCGTGGAGTTTAATCGTTTAAAACCTCATTTAAACACATTAACATATATTCAGATTCTGATGCTACTTTTGCAATTTAAGACAATTTTATCATTTTATTTACCAGATTCTGACTGTGGGTCGGTCCTAGGCTTAGTGTCTGAGCTGTTTTAATCTCTCTTAGAAAAATCCTATTTACAGGGTATCATTTTATTAAAATAGATACTCATCTATTGCACATTAACAGGAGTCCAGGCATTTTTGGTGTGGGCTCTAACTTAAGAGTGTCGTTTTTCTCTACGAATGAGCTTCATTCTGTAGACCTTCCTGTTTCCAATCAGCTAATGAGAGCGTTTTTCCCTACGAGGGAGGTTTTTTTCCTAGCGTGGCACGGCGAGTCTTTTAGGAAGAATGATGGTTAATTATGAATGGAAAGCTGTGATACCTCCACCTACTGTCACTGCATATCCAGTAAGAGAGCTTAAAAGGACCAAAACAGAGAGAGAGTTGAACTTAAGAATGACTAAAGAAGGAACTAAGCTCAGACCCGCCAACTCCTGGTTGGCTGAGCTTTAGCCTTAGATTGACTCTGGACTAGAATCTAGCTGTAGTCCTCCTAGACACACATTTCATCACTTTTATTACAAGAAGTGCATGTTATCGCCTGCACACAGTGAGAAGCAAAGCTACGGTACTCAATGGTAGAAGGTTGGGGGCGGGGCTTAAAGTTAGAACTAAACTGTTCAGAATCAGTTAGAGGGCTTTTAACTTTAAGCCACACTTCTGAATCCTGTATCACAAACAGATGGCTGCACACTCACTCCTGTGGATTCTTTATCACTAATATTAGGCAACTACGGTAGTTTCCGGTCGGCAGACTAGATAGAAAATAGGATTCAAACATAAAAGTATTGGCGAATTATGCGTGGTCAGTTCCAGTTGACCACTCTAGAGAGGCCTCATCCAGGCTGTGGGACTAAATTAACCACATGTGGGCATCAAATTCCCATCTGAGCAGGATAGCAATCACTCTTCCTCCCTCAGTAGCAGCCTGGTGGGGTGCAGCCTCCACTCAGTGAATAAATTTACCATCTCTACTGAGGTCCACTGAACATGACAAGCTTTTCTTTGATAAACACTGAAAAGTTTTGCTGTCTTTAGTCCTTTAGTCGACACCACAACTGCACAAGTTTTCTCTGAAAACGTCTCCATTTTTATTCTTATTATACATTTCTAATATTTGCCTCGCTGATCTTTCTCTACAAAAAGCTGCACGATATTTTATATAAAACTTTTAACACAAACTTCCATTTATTTATTCCACCTTATACATTCACATTAATGTCAGCGGTAGGTGCGTCATTGTGTAGCATCTTAGCACCAAAGCTAATTCCTCTGGCATGTTAAAAACTGCTTGGAGATAAAACTGGTTCCAGAATGAAAGTGTTAATAAATTGTTATGTTTCCAGTAAAACCTGAATCTGGGGAAGCCTTGGCGCTGTGCAGTTCCACTGTGATCAGTAGAAATTAAGCAGCATTTGCAGCCAAGCACAGTTTTAAAGGACATAGCTCCCACTAGTGGTGTGAGCAGGAAATTACACCTTTATGGTAGCATTTCCACCAGTGTCTTGTTCACAGAAATCGTATGTTTAGCATCATTATGTAGATTTGAAGGAAAACCCATTTTATTTTTTGTATAAATTAGGTTTAAGGTTAATCTAAACCAGATCTGTGTGAAGAAACAGCTCCTCTCGTTTCTATAGAAAGTCACATACCTTCTCCACATCTCTGCAGTTCTGCTGTGTAATCACCCACTTGGCCCGCTGGCGGAGGTGGAGCCTGTGGACGGACACCAGGCGATGGAAATGTTTGGACAAGGACTTCTGCAGCAGGACTCCTTTCTGCGTGAAGACGCTCCAGGAGCGTCGAACCGGTGACCCGTCTCCCTCTGTCCCTGGATGTTCTCTAGGAGATACAGCTGGGGTTGATCGAACCGGCAGGAGGTGGTTGGGAGTTTCTGTGATGCAGAGAGGCTCTTCTGTCTGTTCAGGTTGTGTCTCTGCAGAGATGATAGGGTTTCCTGTTTGTAATTTATTTTCTGTAGCTGTCGTCGTTGTCAGTGTGACACCAGCAGAGGTGATCTGAGGAGCTGGTTTGGCCGGCCTGATGGGCAGCCGGTGCTCTGCGGCGACGGTGGGGAACCAGGGGCTGAAGACAGGAGGAGGCCGGCAGGTAAAGGGCTCCAGAAGCTTCTCTGTCTGCTCCAACAGGCAGGAGAGCCTGACAGCTGAACCAGGCTGGTAGTGCAGAACCACATCATCCATCCAGACGGATGGAGATCACAGAAGAGACGGAACCAAAGTCTTCTTCTTCCTCTTCCTCATGACAGCAGCTCTGTGTAAAGGGTCAGATGAGGAAGATGATTTATTAAAAATGACTCAAACCTTCATAAAACAAAAGTAGGAAAAAAATTCACATTTGGAAAATGTTGCATAAAATAATGCAAAGTTCAAACATTTGTTGATTTCTATATTTACAATAAATGTGACTCAGTGGTTGTTAAATGTGCACATTTAGACATTTTCTTCAAAGTAGGTGGTGTGAGAATGGAGCGTTGTAACCATAGTAACAAGCCTCCTGAACAATGTCTCCCAGTCCGTGCACAACTCCGTAACCAAAGAGCCTCTTGATGCGCAGCTTGATCTTTTCTCCCAGCGGCAGTTGAACTCCAACCATCAATGCAAACACACTGACATTCACTAGTTTCCATCGTTTTCAGCAGATCTCTGCATTTTCATTCATAGCTCATTAAAAAAAAAAAAAAAAGGTTATACAGATACGCGGAATATCTGAAGCTCCATGTTTTCCAAGTTTTATATACATGCGATTGCCGGTGAAGATTCTCAGTCATCCAGGTCATAGTCATTCCAGAAAAGTTAAAAAACAATCCCCTGGACTTTGTTTCCAAGTTTGAAAATGTTTCCCTTCCAATCCAGGAAGCTTTTTGAATTAAAAATGTCAGAAATAGCGTTGAGTTCAAGGTTTTGTACAGTAGCCCAACAGAACCTTGTTTTGGCTTAGAAAACATGCAGATTGCGACGGACAAACGGGTCCACCCCTTTGCAATGGGGGTCGTTTGGGTTCTTTGTCAGCCTACAATACCCCATACCTGTCTATGTCTCTGAAAGGGGGTCATTAGAGAGAATTCGCCTGGCTAATCAGGCGAAGTCTTCTGTCCCCCTTTAAAGGAATAGTACACCCAAAACATGATTAGCCTTCATTTTCTACTCACCCCCATGCTGAACAAAACTCTGGAGTACTTTTTTGATATCTCAAATGCATCTGGAGATCTGGGAGGCTTCTTGCTGTCTGCTGACATTCAAATAATGGAGGTCTATGGTGACCGAGACAGAAAGGTCCATAAAAGTCCATAAAAAACGTGTCAATATTCCTCCATACTGCTCGTCCAATGTATTCCAAGTGTCCTGAGTGGGTAGCATCCAGAATTTACTCGAAACGAAGTCATTTAGAATGTTTTTAGAACATAAACAGTAGTGTATAGGATTTCCTAATAGCGCCCCCATGCGCGCTCACAATTCTACGGAAGCCGGCAGACCAAACCAGCGCATTCAGCTCGGCAAAGAACTCATGCTCTTCCTCAACACTGAAGTCCTCAGACATTTTTCTTTCGTTGTTTCTTTCTTTGCACAGGTAAACAGCACATTTCTTCTTCTACGCTTGCATTATTGGCAGATCAGACGCTGAATGCGCACTTTCTTCCGGTTTGGTCTGCCGGCTTCCGTAGAATCGTGAGCGCGCATGGGGGCGCTATTAGGAAATCCTATACACTACTGTTTAGGCTCTAAAACGTTCTAAATGACTTTGTTTCGAGTAAATTCTGGACGCTACCCACTCAGGACACTTGGAATACATTGGACGAGCAGTATGGAGGAATATTGACACGTTTTTTATGGACTTTTATGGACCTCTCTGTCTCGGGCGCCATAGACCTCCATTATTTGAATGTCAGCAGACAGCAAGAAGCCTCCCAGATCTCCAGATGCATTTGAGATATCAAAAAAGTACTCCAGAGTGTTGTTCAGCATGGGGGTGAGTAGAAAATGAAGGCTAATCATGTTTTGGGTGTACTATTCCTTTAAGGCAGTGGGGGTTGCTACATAGATGGGTATGGTAGAAACATAAGAACAGAAATAATCGAACTTCGAAACAAAGTTTAGTGGACTGTTTTTTATTTTTATTTTTGGAATACATTTGTGACAGTTTTTTTAATTTTGGTATATTATCTTCATATTTTTGCATTTATGTGTTCTTTTGCTGTTCATGCATGAATAAAAGGGGTAAATGTGCCTCAAAGCTCTCAATTTATAATTCCATTAGCGCTCCACCTAGTGTCCAGAATGGGTAATGTTCAGACCTTACAGCTCAAGTAAAATATTTTCTGTTTCACAATAAAGCTGCACAAAAAATATAATTAATTTTGGTTATCTTTGGTGACCAAACTAAACTCTTTCATATAGTCTTTGACTTAGTTATAAAGATGATGAATGATAATGAGTTACAGGCTGGCGCAAAAAAGGATCATAGCCTTATCAAAACAAACTTATGAATTAAAGTGACATCAGAGGATCTAATGATCACTTATCATCGCAAAAGCAGAAAAAATATTCAAAGTTCAAAGACTGGAAGATGTGAGAGCTCCAGCAGAACTGCTCTGGGCAGGGAGACAAAAATGTTTTAAACATTTTCACAGTCGGAAAACATTTTCATATAATAATATATAATATAATTCATTAATGAAGACGTAAAAGGCATGAAAAACAGTAAATCAAAGAGATTTTCTAAGACTGAAGCTAATGTTTTTAGCTTTGTTTTTAGCTTGTTCGTCTGCTAACGGTTAGCCAACTGAGAATATTCAAATAATAATAAACAATACTCACATGAGCCAAAACCACACAGTAAAGATAAAAACCTCATGTTAGAAAATAAGAGCCATTTATCAGAGCTTCGCATTAACTGGACTCAGAGGAAGAAACAAGCAGAAAGCGGCGCCATGATGAAGCTAAAGAGCAAAGGGCAAACCTGAAAGTTCTTCTTCTTCTGTGAAATGTTTAATGGCGGTTAGCGAACAACTCGAAGGTACACTACCGCCACCTACTGGTACAAAGTGTGGAACAAACGTATTCTAACTCATATTTTGTTCCCATAAGGTTAAACCAATTTGAATAATTATTTTATCCTCTATGTAATCTTTAACTGATATTTATCTTATCACTAAACAATTTTCTAAACTTATTTTTTATTCCCCTTTTAATAAATAAACTCTCCTACATCCCTTGTGTCTATCCCTTCTTATCTATTTATTTTGTATTTATTTATTTGTCGCAGTACACATTAATGAATATTTCTTTACATGTGTCACTATTAGCTATGAAGCTAGTTTTCAACTGTTGTTCCTGGGCAAGGTTTATAATGCCAACATCAATTACAAAAATATTATAAAACAAAGAGATAATTAAAAAAAAAAATGAGGCTACATACTTGCAAGGGCAGGTCAGTTCGAACAGAGATATTAGCATAAATATGTACAGATATTTACAAATTAACACCTGACACTGACATTTGTCTGAGTCATGCACCAGGATATCAGTCTAATAAGGTCTAATGAGCAAATTGTTGATTTGATTTTGACCAGTTTTTTAACTGACTCCTGAATGCGTTAAAAGTGGAGGATTCTGTGATGGTGAGAGGGATGCTGTTCCAAATGTTACAGCCGCCTAACTGAAAGATTAATCTGCCCAAAGGTGGTTCGTCTGAAGGGCACTCCAGTCTCCTCTAGCTGGAAACTGAGTGGCTTTGACAGAACATGATTCCAGTCCATTATGTACTTTATAAACCATGCAAGCAAATTTAAGGTGTTTATAATTCTCAATCTTGAGGAGATTGAAAGTGTCAAGAATGTGATAACGGTGGTACGAAAAAGTTTTTTTTTTTAAATCAAAAATCTTTAAATCTTTTTTATATAATGATTCTATTTGTTTAACAGTGGTTTCATTTGTAAGAGACCAGGCTGTAGAACAATATTCAATATGTGAGAAAACCACGACATGCAGAAACATCAATGTCATCAATGAATATAATTTAGCTCCATTGTAAATCTGTCAGATTTAAAGGCTAATGTACACAGTATAAAAGTATATGGCATCATGCATGCACAATTTGCAAATAGAAAAATATTATAGCAATAACAGACATGTACTTGTCATTCAGTCTTTATCTAAAATCTTAAAATTATATGTAGGATGTAATTACCATAACAATGCAATAAATACATGTATATTACATTTACTTAATCAATTTAGCATTTTTGGCATGTCTGTTCTATTATGCTCCATTAACACATTTATTTTATTGTAAAGGTTTTGTATAATATATTAAATTACATGATTTATAGAGTTCACTGACTTCATAATGACTATGCAATATGATGTGCCTATTTTTTTCTATTAGATGTTAAACTAATCTACTAACAGCCAGTGTGTGTCCAAGTGATGAATTGATCTTTATTTTAAAAGTCTTAACTTCCCCTGAAAATGAGAACATTATCATTGTTTGATGTTGTAGCACACATATTGTTTACGTGTTGACTGCTATAACTAGGGAGTACTAATATGGCGTCCGGTGGCTTCACTTCAACCCCCGTAATACCAACGGGCAATCAGCAATCCACTGAATAAATAGAGATTCAGTGGTTCTCCCTGAGCATGCATGGGTTCTCTCCGGGTACTCCAGCTTCCTCCAAAAGTCTAAAAACATGACTGTTAGGTTAATTGGTTTCTCTAAATTCTCCTTAGGTGTGAGCGTGAATGGTTGTTTGTCTGTGTTGCCCTGCGATGGACTGTCCACCTGTCTAGAGTGGACCCTGCCTCTGGCCCGTAGACAGCTGAAGATGGGCACCAGCAGCCCCCACGAACCCACTTGGAATAAACGTGAAGGATAACAGGTGGATGAAACAATTACCAGGTTCATAAACATCATTAGTGTAATATAAAACTAGACCATGGTGTTAAAAGCCAAGGAATAAAAAGTTTTTCTAAAGGAGGCCTGGCAACTTATTCCACAACATAGAAGCTGCTACAGCAAACGCTTCGTCCTGATTCAGAAATCATACCTGATCTATAAAGTTTTATTTTAGAAACTCAACAAACATTTAAAAAAATATAACAGTTTGTTATGACTAACGTGTTTAGTAAACACTGTTTAACTCTGATTTAAAGTTGTTTTAAGTTTATGAAGATGTAAAGAAAAATAGACAAATAAAAAAGACATATTAGAAACAAAAACAAAAAAAAACAACAATATTTATTATATAAAAATGTTCAAAATTAAAATAAACAAACTTAAAATAAGGTCACAATATTTTTTTTTATAAAAATCAGAAATAACACCTTCTTTCCTAAAGAAACGTGATCATTTCTGAACATCAGACTTAGATAAACTGATGCCTTTGTTAACTAATACTGATGTTTTTATTATCACTGAACAGCCCTATAAATTACACTAATGAGCTCCTTTGGTTTCAGCAGCATAAATGACCAAGTTAATAAACAAAGGCAAAAAAAGAAAACAGTTCTGCAGATATATATGCATCTATAACCAGCTGCTGATGGGTTTGGTAACAATGGACCCAGCAGGCTTTCTAATGCTGCTAAACGAAGCTCAACCAATCAGAGCTGCTGAACTGAACTACTTCAATCAGCCTTTTCTAGGATAGAACCGGCTCTGAGCGCCCGGCTGGTTTTTACGCCTCATCTTCTTCGCTCTCCAGCTCATCTTTAAATCCGTCGTCGTCTCTGTCCACTAGAGAGCAGCTCAGAATCGATTCTTCAATCTGCCGCTTTTCTTCTGCAAAACAAAAACATCCAACACAAGGTTTCAGAAAACCACAGCATAAAAAGTTATCAGACTATAAAGACATAAGAAAATATAAACAAACAGGTTCAAAGTTATTATGAGGCTGTTTAGTTAAAAACTAGTGGTGGGCATAGATTTTTTTTAAATCTAGATTAATCTCACTGTAATCTTGGAATTAATCTAGATTAAAATCACTCATTTGAATTCTGCCAAAGAAATTCATGATAAGTGTTTGCTACCTAAATAACCTTTTCAATTCATTTTCCCTGAAGCAAACCCGGCGTCTTTATAGCTGCATCCATGTTTGAAATGTTTTCAGACGCAGGTGGAGTTTCAGAGTCAGACATCATTAATTATCACACAGATTTCGAAAAAGTTCACCAACAAACATCCTTCTTTGCCACAATCCTTTTCCAAAATCAAAAACTTTGCTTTCTGTAGTGATCAATTGTTTCTCTGCAGCACAGCAGTGCTTTCATTCATAAACTCAAACCCGTTTCTTCAATTCATCAGTGAAGTTTTTCTATTTGTTACGGCTACTCGTGCAAGATAATAAGTTCCCAAAAATCAAAAAAATGCCAGAGTAGTTTTTAGGAGGGGAGGGAGCACTGGCAGAGAGTTTTCTGGTTTTAGATGGTGTTTTCTAGCTAGAAATAGCGTTTATATTTAAATAAAACAATACATTTTTTAAATATAAAGGTTGATTGGCGTTAGAAAACCTGTTTACCTCCTTCACCAACCAATCAGATCACCCACCACAGCTGCTTCTGCTTGTTAATCACAGCAGGAGGCAGATTGACAAGCAGGAGGATCAAATAAGATAAATAAACAAATAACAATAGATCTACCGTTCCCATACCCTTAGATCTATAACATTAATAATTTAGCAAAAAAGAAATTAACCTAATTCTCAAGAGGCTCCAATAACGCTTCACGTTAAATATGATGATTTAGCAGTACTGTACGCCTACACAGGTTGAAAGACTGATTTATTCTCGCCCTCAGAAATACAGCCACGCTAAAATATCAAGATGAAAGTCATCATTAGTGTAGCCCGAGCTCCCAATCAGCTGTGAGAATAGATTAACGGAGATATTTTTTGTTATCGCCCGATAAGAGTCTGCCGTTAACGGTCCACCACTAATAAAAACTCAGCGGGATCTAAGGGTTTTAGTGTCAGCTGGGTTCTTCCTGTGCAGATATAACAGCTTCATCTCCTCCTGAAGGCGCTCCACAAGGCTTAGTTTAAGGAACATTTCAGATGCACATATGTAAGGTCAAACACTGCACTGGAAACACGATCCAGAAATAAGTAAAAGATTTTAAATTAAGTGTATTTAACCTAAATTTGAGCAAGTAAAGAAGATGATTTGCCAATGAAATGAGTCTTTTTACTTTTAAAATAAGATAATTATATAATATACACTTGAAATAAGACAATGCAATTGTTTTTTCTTATTTTAAATGTAAATTGTCTTGTTCCATTGGCAAAGTGTCTCACTTACCTCCTCAATTCTAGAAAAATTTACTTATTTTAAGAAAAAATTAGTGACTGAAATTTCATTTTTTGCAGTGTTGTGTTGGATCAGAAGGCCTGGCTCTAAGTTTCTGCTCCAATTCCTCCCTAATATATTCTTTCTGGTTGAAGTTAGGACTCCTGATCCATGATCGATATCGGAAATCAGTCTGATATCAAATGAAAAACAAATATTAGATTTTATCTGCCTTGATCTAAACTCTTTGATTTAAAGCTTCGGCTTCAATCTGCTTTTGTTTAGTTCAGCTGTTCTCCTACCTATTGTTGTTGACTATTGTCATTTGTTTGAATAACATCAATTGATCAAACCTTTTCTAGCATTCATACAGAATAAGTGATCAAGTATATATAATTCATTTTTATATATCAGGAAGATATCAGCATCAGAAAATACTCAAAGCTCTGATATCAGCATCATATCAGAAATTAAAAGTTGTTTTGGATTCCCGTTCCCATTTGCTTTCATCGTATTTTTCCACTGATAGTTGATGTTGGAATATTTAGGAGAGGAAATGAACCGACTGGATTAGTTGCATAAGTGGCATCCCATCACAGAGCCACACCAGAGCTCCTGAGAGCCACTTCTTCTTTCCCGTCTGCTCAGGCTTGATTTCATAATGATCTTTTTATCCTGGACGGATGAGCAACTGCTTCACAGATCACATGTTTTCAATCAAATCCTTTACCTTCATTTTTACATTTAGGGAGCATCCGGTGGAGCTGCTGGGTGTTGTACCGGATCAGAAACTTCTGACATGTTCTGATGGTTCCTGTAGAAAAAGAAACACTCTAAACACATCAAGATTTTAAAGTTACTTCAACATTATTTTGCTTGTTTGTTTTTTTTCTCCTTACCTCCCACATGCAAACAGTTAAAGGCACACGGGATAATCTGCCCACGACTTTCAATGCAGGTAATGAAAGGCAAAGCAGACCAGAGAAGTTCATAACCACGCTTGGGTAAACGGAGGAAGACCATTCCAGTGTGGGCATTCAGGTATTTCACTGAAGAAGAGAAAAAATACAAGAGAAAAAGACGGGGACAGGTTCAGGGATTAAAAATGTTCTCATATGTGGACCGCAACCAGTGTTGTGCCTGAACGAGTTCATTGAACGAAAGTTCATGAACTCGTTCATATTTTGGGCGAACGTGAACTGAACGTACTGCATTACTGCCTGATGAACGTTATTGTGAACTCGTTCATTCTGGTGTCTGCTCTCTCAGTTCAACTCCGTTCAATAGGTTGCCAGATTTCTATAGAGTCCTCCAGGCGAAACCCCGGCTAAATCACACCGTAAACAGGCCTTAATATGTAGCGGGAAAAACACCCAATCTGGCAACACCAGCTACCAGCGTCGTAGCCTACAGCCGCGTGCGTCATCAAAACAAAATGCAGCGTGGAAGCCACAGCAGCATGGAGGCGACCGTGGAGGCGACAAAGCAGCAGTATGATCACTTAAAACAGGTTTATGACCAGGTGGTCGGTGAGGATGATGGCAACAATCTTACATTTCTCTCCAAACTTTGCCCGCCGGCTTTCAGGAAAAAATCTGCACTTCAGTAACCTTAAATTCCTACCTCAGCCTGGTCCCTCAGTTTGTGTTAGTAAAATGTTCTTGAGGGTTTTACTATTCATGTAACTTGTTTGTTAAACCTGCCTGGTATAATTTTCCAGGATTCCAGTATTCCTTTTTAGTATGTACTGAAATGGAATTTCAAATTGAAAAAATTATTAAAATTAAAAAAACATTTGCACCTTAAAGACTACTTTCCTGTTTTTCTTTTAATAATTCCTCATAAAAAAGACCATTCAAGCAGCACATTTTTCCTGATGTTTTTGAGAATATACTGTAGGGGTGAAAGCTGCAGCTGCTACTAGTGTGAAGTGAATGGACAGCAACAAAGCGTTAAAGCAACAATGGGGAAATGCTGTCCCCTCAATGCTAATGTAAACCCTGGTTGGATAAGGATTCAAAACTGGATATGAAGATGAAATCTGACGCACAGTTTCAGAGTTACAACTGATAAAATAATTGCTGTCTGTGGTTCTACAGTAGGCTATGGTGTAATTGTGTAATTGTACGAAATACTCATTAATAATATTAATATCATTCCTGGACAACTGGGTAAGCAAATCGAGCGCGCCTTAGACCTTAGAGAAGGCGCGCTCGATTTGCTTATACAGTTGTCCAGGACTGATAATATTATTAATAAGTATTTCGTGCGCACGTTATACTTATTGCGTGGCCATGAAGTAGTATTTCGTGCGCACGAAATACTACTTCATGGCCACATTTAAAAATATTTTTTTGATCATGTCATCAGGGGGGGGCTCCGTATAATTGAGCAATATATGAAAAAAAAAAAAAAGAACTATGAACTAGTTAATTTTTTGGAACTGTGAACTTAGTTCAAAATTTTGAATTATGAACTATGAACTGAACTAGTTCATTTTAAAATGTGTGAACTGAACTTTGAACTAGTTCACGTAGAAAGAGAACTTTCCCAACACTGACCGCAACACTACTTACGAGTAACCTGAGCAAAATGAATCAAATCAAAGAAGTGTCCTACCATGACTATGAAGCTGATCCCAGTGGGACATTAGTCCCTAACCATGTAGGGGCAGTGATAGCCATGCCAGTCCAGGGACTGACTGCAGTTCTTCTGTAAGGTGTCTTGGTCAAGGTCAATGACCGGCGCACCTGACACGTAACAACTAGACCATGCATATTGCTTAATGGTTTTAGACTATATTAATTGGACAGATACACTGTGCGATTTTTTGCCCTTTACGGGCCGATTCTCCAGTCGTGCTGACTTTCAGCCTCATTGTGCATCATGTAGTGTACAGGGGGATATGAGGGGCGATCAGCCGCTCACTACCAACTCCCGATCAGGAATCGTGAGGTCAGGAGAAAATCAAACATGTTTGAAATTCCATCGGCCGTCGTGATGTCGTATCAGAGCTTCGGGCCGCACAGTGTGAGAACAAATATAGTGAGCTGTGAACTTTTAAACCCAACGATTGAAAATATTGACCGACATACCTGACATGGTACAACTATACCATGCATATTGCTTTAGGTTATAGACTATATTAATTAGGCTATGTATGCTTCCAAAAATATATTAAAAAAATTAAATCCCCCACCCCCTCCTTTTTTTTAACAACTAAACTACAGGCTAGAGAAATCATGTCCAGATGTTTCCTCCCTTTTATGCTGTTCATACTTTGAAAAACTGGATTTTTATATTTTCGTTTTTATTCTGCAGATCTAATAAAGATCAAAACGTTCAGATCTAATGGTTGATTGAGACTTTTATCACTTATTTAGATTGTCTGACTTCTTGCATATCTTGTTGCTCTTTAAATAAACCAGCAGAATTCATTCATTTTGGGGTTAATGGCAGATGAATTTTGTAGAGATCGCCCCTTTAATGTATCTCTTTTAGCTCTTAATCTCTCGTTTTCACCTGATTTCAGTTTGTCAATCACTGATTATCTGTATTTTAACACAGTCCCCGTTGGTTGATGTTGCAGCTGTCTGCCTTTAAATCAACTATGTGGTCAGACCCATAAATTAAGTCATCTACTAGATCTCACCCCAGAACCTGGTGCTGCAAATAGCGGTCCCATAGTCCCCGTGAATTCTGGCCACTGCTGCCCGCACCGCCCCCGCAACAGCTCGGTCATCCAGCTTCAGCAGATCCCTCCTGTCAGACACATTTATCTCACACAGCAAATACCTGCCGATATAAAACAGATTCAATCACAAATGAATCGAAAATACATTAAATTAATCAGAAAACTCATATGTTTACTAAAAGCACGTGTCTACCTTGACTTCACCCGCACCATCGTTGCCTCTGTTTATTTCCGTGGGAACTTCCGTCAACAAAAACTTTACTCGCTTGTTTGAAGCTGCCACTCGGGCGCCCCCTTGTGGATTTTAATGGTAACTGACGGGTGCTTTTGAGACCGACGGGGTAAAAAGGATTTCAATTTGGACAAAGCCTGGAAAGCTAACTGCGCAATAAAATATACGTAACGTTATTAAATTGTTATGCATTTTAATTATATATAAAAAAAAAAAAATCGAATTTACAGTCGAAATAAACAGGGAAGAGCAAAGCATCAAGCTATTCACACCCCTTTTGGTAACCATGGCAGCATCCTGAGCTCCCAACCAATCACAGCCTCGGGTTTCCATCTCCTCACGCTTAACGCCATCTTGAAGTTACAGTTTGTGAAGAGTCCCACAAAACAAAACGGCCCCTCGCTTCCGCTGCTTCCTTGGGTGATATGAACGGAGCCCGAAACAAACCGTCACAGGCAGCCGGTAAGAGCCACAAGGAGGCGGACACAGCGACGGAGAGCAACCGGGACAGGAAGGCCGCCGGCGGAGGAATGCTGAGGAAGCTGAAGTCGAGGCGCAGCCACACGGAGAAGTGGCCTCCGGTCACAGAGGATGAGCTCCGGGTTTTGGGGACCGATATTTCCCCGGACCAGGTTCTGGGTCTGCGGGTGGTCACGGAAGGTATCTACTGTCCCCGAAACTCCTGCTTGTTGTTCGGTTTGATAACGGAAACTAAAGACGATGTGTTAATTAAACCCTGTTATATGAACAATATATTCTATTGTTTAGGGGAAATCTGCTGTTTATACAAACATTTCAAACTCCAGAAAAAATATTCCATGCTCGGTACCATTTTAGATACAACTGTGACAAAAAAAAAGAGAGAAATTATTAAAGGCATGAAAAAAATAATAACTTTAAAATTACCTTTCAAAAAATCTCGCCATGAAACATGTTTCTCAACAGAATCCCAGATTCTAGTTAAATAAATGTGCAAACTAAGAATTCTAAAATTAATAAAATAAAATAAAAATATGCTAAAAACGTTTCATTTCAGAATCAGTTTTTTGCACCATGTTTTTTCTCCCACACTATATACATCTGATCACTGCTGCACCTTAAGAAACGGAAATGTCATGAAAGCTCTACAACACTAAAAGTTGTCTAAGTCAATTATTTGTAGGGCTGGGTATTTTCACCATAGTCCTTAATTGATTCGATTTTGATTCATACAGCTCTAAATCGATTAATTTCCATTCGATCTGTTTTTACAATATTAAAAGTGGTTCAACTGTGTTTCAAAACACTCATGTATTTTATTTTTTCCTGTTATATTTAAAACAAAGTGCAAACTTGTAAATCGGACAGTTTAAACTTGAGATGTGAACAAAACTGTCTCAAAAGTGCAAACTTTTTTGTGAAAACAAACTTTTTTGGTTTAAAATCATCAGTGTTTGTTACGGGAATAAAGCAATGAGAACATTTTCTGATTTTTAATAATCCTTTTTTAATATTTATCCTATAAAATATTTGTCTAGTTGGTCTTTTTTTATTTTATTTTTGTTTGAACTTTGTTTCTGCTGTATTGTTTGTATTAAATAATAGTTACAGCCAATTCTTTAGTTAGATGCATCATTTGAATGCATATAAATGAGTGTTTAGAGTTAGACATTCTTCTGCCAATGTTTAGTTGAATTAAAGTGACAAAGCGACGGTTTGAGGCTCATGACTCGTCATAAAAACACTCCAAGTTCCAGTGAAGCCTTCAGTTAGTCAGCGAAGCCTATTGGACTTTTTTTGTTCTTGTTGTTGGGGAGTTTTTCCAGACACCACAATAGTTGCTTTTCGTCTTTTGGGAGGATTCTCTTTCCTGCAGAAAAAAAAACAAAACAAAAAACTCAGGTTTTCTCTGCTGAGTTTCTAATCCTGCTTCTATCTACTGTTTCAGATTATCTTTGCAGACCTGAGGATAACATCTACAACATCGACTTCACACGCTTTAAAATCAGAGACCTGGAGACGGGGACGGTCCTCTTTGAGATAGCCAAGCCTCCTAACAGCGGTGGGTGATGCATGCAGGTCACTGAGGGGCGTTCAGTCAGAGACACCGATGCTTTTCTGATGAATCTTTGATTCACAAGTTCGACAAACATGAGAAGAAGATTAAGTTTAATGTGATAGAAAGTGAAATAAGTTGAAGTGAACTGACCAGTTGAGGTCCTGTTTCATAATGGTGGTATGCAGCAGGTTCACTCCTAAGGCGTTCCGATCCATTCAGTGAACCGTTTCTCTGCCTCAGGTCATGCAGAGAAAGAGGAGGACAGCGTGGACGGAGACTCCAGCGCGGGACGCTTCGTCCGATACCAGTTCACACCAGCCTTCCTCAAGCTTCGCACCGTCGGGGCGACGTAAGTTTTCCCAAGTCCGTCGTTGCTCTGTCCTTCCCTCTGTCCTTCCCTCTGATCCTTCTTTAACCGCAGCGTTGAGTTCACCGTGGGGGACCGGCCCATCAACAGCTTCCGGATGATCGAGAGGCATTACTTCCAGGGTCGGCTCCTGAAGAACTTCGACTTTGACTTCGGCTTCTGCATACCCAACAGCCGCAACACGTGCGAACACATCTACGAGTTCCCTCAGCTTCCCGAAGACCTGAGTGAGTTTCTGACGGTTCAAAGGATCGGGCTCGCCGCTCTGATCCACACTGACCCTCTTGTCTGATTCCTTCCAGTTCGCCAAATGGTGGAGCATCCATACGAGACCAAATCCGACAGCTTCTACTTTGTGGACAACAAGCTGATCATGCACAACAAGGCAGACTACGCCTACAACGGGGGGCTTTAAGGCCCCAACGAAGGAACGGGTCCAGGAAGTATTTTTATTGCTAGAAAGCAGACACCTTAATAAAGACCACCTCTGCCTTACAACGAGAGCATGGTTCCTTCTTAAAGTACCTCAGAGAAGCTCCGCTTCACAGACTGCGAACAGTTCTGATTTCCGATGTGATCCGACTCGTCCCCGTTTGAACGATTCACCGCCGTCTCTGCTGGAAGGGGACGCCTCCGCTCACTGATTTACTCTTTTTTTTTTAAACAATTGGATTTCCTGAGTGGAAAAGCAAACTGGATGTTTTCCAGACATTTTAATTCAAACGTTAGATGAACGCTGAGCTGTGTGGACCTTAAATACGATGCCTTATTGGAGCTGTTTGTGTCTGAAAAGACCGTTTTTTTTTTTGTTGTTTTTTTTTTCTTTCTGACTCACAGTAGACGATTTCCTTCAGTTTAGAAAAAGCAGGACCATCTCATCATCACAGATCTCCTTCATCTGTCTAAGCTGTGGTGGGAAGTTTGCTGTTTGATCAAATCTAGAAGGAATGAAGGTTAAATTGCGAAAGATTAGGTTTATTAACATTTTCACAGCGTCTGCATCGATATGTTTAGTTTGTTTTGTTTAGATTCAACCTGTAGATGTGATTCTACCTGTTTAGTTCATGAAATCTGTCTTCTGGATTTATTAGTAACTTCTAATTTAATAAAACCTACAGGGTCACCATACTTTATACTCAGCAACCAGGTGCACACTTCTACCAAATGGTGCTTTAAAGAGCCCATTTATCCCTACAGGGATGTTTCCTGACCCTTACAGGAAGCTGGAGTACCCAGAGGGAACCCTCAAAGGCATTGGAGACCTTTTAATGTGTGTGTTAAAAAATGCAGTGCTTTCTACTTCCATGTAGTTCAGCGGTTTGGTTTGAATTCCTTCCCAGCAGCTGCCTCATTTCTCCTCTCTTTGTTGTTTACTGTGATTTTGTGGAGTTTTAATCTACGAGAAGGAGGCCTTTTCAAATCAAAGGTGCCTAAAAAAAAATATAAATAAAAATCATGGAAAGTAAGAACAACGCACGGAGCAGGAATGTGCCTTAAAATCTGATGCTACATGTTTTTAAACCCTTAGGAGATTATAATGGAGGCCATTAATGGCTTCGATCGGTGGGATTTCAGTCGTATGTTTGAACAATTTCATTCTAGTGTTTGTTTCTGATGTTTGTCGTTTTAAATGTTTCTACAGAGCAGAGCTACTCTGGCTGCTGCAGACGTCTGAGATGTTTTTGTTTTGCTCTAATGCCTTGATAAGCACATAAACGCTCTTTGTTTGACCGTCTTCCTGTAAGCTGTTGTATAATATCCCATTTTTTTATTTGATTAGGATATTAATAAATAAAAAGAAGTGATTGTTGGACAAATTCCCACCCTGCTGTTCATAGTTTGAATTCATCGTTCCTAAACTCTGGTTCTGTTTAGATGAAGTTTCTCAGCAGTTCAAAGATGCATCTTTATGGTTAAGAAAGAAATGTAAAGTTTATTTAGAAGGTGAAATTTTGATTTATTACAAAAATGTTATAATTGAATCATTCAAGGATTATCTTACAGCAAATAAACTAGAAAATAAAATTCCCTGCAACTGAAAAAACAAAAAGTATTTTCTGTTCAGAAAGTTCCGTTCTATGTTCCTTCCCACAGACGCCCTAAAAACGATTTTACGTTAGTCCAGGAAAACTAAGAAACAAGTTAGTTACTAATACTATACTAATAAAGCTCAATTCAGTACAAAGATGATTAGTGGTGCTTTAGATAGATTAAAACATTGAAATAGAAAAAAAATAAAAGCAAGTAAAGATTAAAAACACCACAAAAGCAGGTAGTAAAATAAAACTATTGAACCACAACCTCAACCTGAAACTTATAATACCTCAGCTAACTGTTTAACAGTCAAAGGCAGCTCTAAATGAATAGGAAGAACTCAGGCTTTCTGCTCTTTTCCAGTCTTCTGGGAGTTTGTTTCAGATCAGTGGAGCTTAAGAATTAAATGCTGCTTCTCCATGTTTGGTTCTAGTTCTGGGTGAACAGAGTAAGTTTGTTTTAAATCTGTGATGAAGCTGTGCTGAGGTAATAAAGAAGTTCCGGTTTTCTTAACCTGCATTCATTTAATGCCGACCCAAGAAACTAAATTACTCCAAAAACTATTTATGTTCCTGCTTTAATTTAGAATAAATATGTTTGACTTTACTAATAAATTCAGTGAGGTGACAAAGTCGACTTTATTTGATCGAAGAGTGCAAAAGATAATATTACACGGTAAAAGCATGCTACTGTTGTTTTGTACAAATGTTGTATATGCAATGGCTAATTAGCAACCCCAGCACTCAGTTTTATTGTCCTTGTTAGCATGTTTAGCCAAACAGGTTAAATGTATGCATTTCTCTTTATTTTGCACTTTCAAGCTTTAGCAACATGTTCTTTAAGGATTTAATGATTCAATAAAATCCACACCTCCAGAATGGCCCTTCCAGTCAAACACCAGCCAAATGGCCGCCCACTTCGCTCCAACTCCCAGCGTAATCCCTCCAACTTCCAGCCACTGCAGTCCAGACCCACCTGCTGGCTAATCTGGACCCAACCTGATTTAAAACATTTATAAATTACCGCATGTTGTCCAATGACAGTGTCTAATTTCACTTGCGCTGCTTCTCCTGTTAATACGGTAAAGTCTTCAGGAGCGTCCGGCTCCAAATTAGCCAATGAGCTGTCAGTCTGGGTTGCTGCTGCTGCTTGATTGAAAAGTTGTTTTTTATTGAAGTGAAGATTTTTTTAATTGAAAATATATTTTTTGATTGAAGCAACCTTTTTTTTATTGAATAATAAAGAAACAAATCTACCTTCATAGATATGTGCTTGAGAATGGCTTAGTCTCCATTCAAACCCAGGTTTAAAGCCTTGCAGGGCAGCCTAAAGCCCACTGCTCTCATTAAGACAGTAAGTAGAAAGAAAATAACAAACGCACAGTTCAGGTGTTTGATAAAATATGGGAATCAGGAACTGAAAGATTCTTCTCTACTTTAACAAACACTTTAGATTTTAAAATGGAAAAATTTATTTTAATATTTTTTGTTTAAAAACTCAATGTCTAACATGGATGCATAAACACCTGCATTTTATTTCAGTTTTAAATTCTGTTTAAAGTAACAGATTATAATTAAAAATACCTTCAGACCTTTACTAATTGATGATTTTCTTTATTCAGGTCCTGCTGATTTTTTATTGGTTACCGCTGATATAAAGGATCCCATGTTGGATTTTTAGCCCATGGTTGAACCATCCAGCTGTTTTATTAATCGTCACTTTAGATAATGTTTTCTGTTATTCCCACTTAAAACCTGGAAATTTAAGATAAATAAAAAACTGAAATGCAGTTTTGATAGAATCAACAGCTCAAATGACACTAATAACATTTGTTTTTACTGTCTTTTTTTAATGATAAAATGCAATAAAAAAAATCTTAAAATGTCCAAATGATGTATTTGGACCTAATACTAACATACAAAATGTTAAAGTATGAAAACAAAAGAAAACTAATGAATTAAAAACAGTTAGGGCGGCGTCCAATGAGATAAAGGACTACATTACCCAGAATCCTCGGTTGAAAACAGAGCGAAAGAAGCAGCACGTGGTTTGAAGATGGCGTCTGGCGCTGGAAGGATGGTGAGAGTTTCCAGTGAGTCCAGCAGCAGCGACGATGAGGAGCTTAAAAGATGCAGGGAGGCTGTTTGGGACCAGAACCAGAATAACAAGACTAAAGGTGAAGGTTTTAGTTTAAGAGGCAGCGAGTAAATCTACCTGCGGCAGATCTTTGATTAAAACACACCAGTCTGTGTTCTAAATTAAAGTTAGTCTCACTTTAAATGATGCATGTTTGTCTGTTTTCAGATGTGGATGGAGTTAAACTGGAGTCAAAGCGGTGAGTTTTAGATTCACACATTTTATAGAAACTAAACCTCATAGAAATAGACTGTCTAGATCTGGGCTTCAAGTTAAAGAAGGAAAGTCTGAGAGTAAATTTTTACAGCTGGATGAAGGAGAGAGTTTTAATCTGAGATGCTCTGATCAGACATTTCAGTCATTTATCATTTTAAACCTTTATTTCTTTTGTTGTTGTTTTTGTCAGACAGATACAGAAAAGCACCAATTATCTAGTTACAGTAACATTGATCAGAACAACATACTTTGAGCAGTGAGCACTTATCAGCAACTGTCCAGCTTTTTCTTTTTTTTGTCTTCCCTACACAAATAACATAAAACAAGGCAACAATAATAATAATAAAAAAAAGCAGTACAGCAACAACGTAGATAACAAACCTACGGAAAAGGATTAGGGCCACTAAAAAAAGAAAAAAAAAGTTAACTTATTTTTTTATTTTATTTTAGATTAGTATGGGGAAAAAAAGTCAGAATTCTGACTTTAATCTCAGAATTCTAACTTTTTTCTCAGAATTCTGACAGCTAACACACATGTTAGCATCAAGCCATAGCCATGTCTGTTTTAGAGACTAGCTCTCTTGTTTTAATGACCTTCTGCTCCTCCATTAATGAGGGGACCCCTCAGGCACGTAAAAAGTTGCCTAATTCCGTCATTTTCCACCAATGGCCACCTCAAACAACTCACATCTTTGTCAGTGAAGCTGAGTGCTCCACATCTCTTCCTTTATGGCGCCCATCTACATTAATTGAATTCTGACTTTTTTCCCATTCTAAACTGAAATAAAATTTTAAAATCAGTTAACTTTTTTTTCCAGTGGCCCTAATCCTCTTCCATGCAAACCAGACCTACAATATATAACATAAATCACAAAACAAGACATCACTAAAACACCCTAGAAAGTCTATTATAGCAATCCTGTTCCTGTATCTAATAAAATATAAGGAGACACATTTACATGTCCAGCAGTTGAGCCAGGAATGGACCCCATACCTGATTGAATGTGTCTTCCCTCCCAGCCACCCTATAGGTGACCCATTAGTAGCCGGCCATTGAACTTAGAACCTGCATCCACTCCTTAAACCTGGACTGAGTGGGAGATTTCCAGTGGCGTAATCCTGCACCCTGTTGTCATAGATAAACAGCACCAAGATTTCTGATGTTTTGACATTTTAATGTTATCTGGAAGTAATCCTAACAGGCATAATGCAGGGTTTCTGACCAACAACTTATTCACAAACAAAATAATCACATTCCACATGTCTTTAGTTTTATCACACTCATATAACATATGCAGAGTTCCAACCTTTCCATTACATCTCCCACATAATCAGTGTTTCTGAGTTTCAGTCTTGCCAGTTTGGAAGAGGTCCAGTAGGATCTATTTTAGTTGAGGTTGTGCTTCAGTGCCATGATGAACATTATTTAATCCAATCATTTCCTGGAATCGTTAGACCTAGATCCCTATCGTTTAACCTTAATTTCTAAATACCCGAGCACACAATCTTACAAATTACAAGATAGTTTTTCCTGAAAAATAACAATAAAAATAAAATCCAAGAAAGAATATTTATTGAAAGATCAAATGAGAGATTAAGAGGAGATATAATGCATTTATTGTTATAAAAGAACTGAGGATATTACAAATGTTTTCTGCATAATTAATAATGTATTTTAAATCACCTGTCATGAGATGTTACTATTAAACAAGCTAAAGTGAAATGCGATTAGGGATTAGATGTTTTGATAAAAACTAAATGAGCAACTGAAAATAATTTCTGAAATATGATCAATATTTAACTGCATGCTGAGACACTATGTGATTTTCTAAAGGTTCTGTGTATAACACACAACTGTCTGTCATTTACAGTAATTACTTTAAAAATATATATATATATTTTTTTTTAAAAATGGGAGAGGATGTAGTTTGGTAGTAACAAAATAATTTCAATGACAGTTAATGTCTGTTTAACAGGAAACCTAATTAAATATGTCAACAGTTAGATGCAAGATGGTTCACTGTATTACCGTATTTTTCAAGACCATAAGGCGCACCGTACTAAAAGGCGCAGTCTCAGTTATGTGTGCCATTACTGTATTTAACACACACATAAGGCGCACCGGACTATAGGGCGCGGGTTTTATATACCGGTACATGTCCTCTACTACGTTTAAATACCTCTACTGCGTATTTAAAAATAGAGTGGGAGCAAAACTGAGTATGTTTGTGCTTTATTCATGTATTTATTACAAAGTATTAATCAAACCCATCATAGTCATCATCCACTGTTTCTGAATTAAACAGCTGCGCTAAATCCGACATGCCAATTTCCCCTTCTTCGCTGTCAGAGTCACTTTCCGTGCTGGGCAGCTCCTCGGAAATGATGGCGGCTTTTGCGAAAGCTTGAACAACAGAGCCAGCAGACACGTTAGTCC